ACACATCTGAAAGACAATGTACCGATGTGTTGCACACACGTTCAGCAGCGGTGCCACAACTGCATCCCCCAGAGGTTCCCTTGGCCACGTTTCTCATTTTATCAAGCTGTGTGAATCTCACTTTTCCATGGGTTGCCATGGTTACTTGTTAGATCCAGCTGGTCCCAGAGGCAAAAGGAACAGTCCTAAATGTGTGTGTAAACATGCTCAGAGTGTGAAATATTCACCAACTCCCTGTTTCATGAGAGAGGTTTTAAACTTCCAGTTTGACTGAACAGAGCCAGCAGCTTTATTTGGAGGAGATGTGCGATTTTTCTGCATCATGTCAAAAGAAATGTGCAATAAAATCTGATCAAATTCACTATATAATCATGAAGGGGACAAAAAGTGTTTTTGTTTTTAATGTAGCTGGTGTGTCTTGGATGTATAGTTTATTTAAGGTTGTTTTCATTAAATAATATTCGATTATAAGGAAGTTTTTATCTTTGTTTGGAACATTTTCGTTTTTCTGGGCTCATCCTCCTTGTGCCACACTGAGTGTCTGACAGCGAGCTGCTTGTGTTTTTGTATCTAATCTCCTTCTGCTGCCTAGCAAGCTTGTTTCCAAACAGCCTGCCCATCCATTTTTCACTATTTTCAAGCAATAGTTTTTTAGCCTGCCTCCGTGTGTCACCAGCTGCTCTCCACTCTGCCTCGCTGGTATTTTTCTGACATCTCCTGACATACAGAGCTGCCCCAGCTGACTCTGTTCTCAACAGTGTTTAGATCAGCGTCTCATTGTGATTGTTAGAGGTTAAAACTGAGCCAGTCTTAATGCTCTGTTCACTCCAAACGCAAACAATACGAAGGGAGCAACATGTTAGTCCTATGTAAAGGATTGATAAGGAGCCAATTAATGATCAGCGATGCAAATAGAGGAAATTTGGGGGACATACCAAATAGAATCTAAGAATAAGCATGAAACACAAAATGGATAAAGTAAAACTTTGCTCGATTTAAAATATCAGAACTTTTTTGTCAGTTTGCATGGTGTTAACTATTTAGAACCTCAAAGGAGCGCAGCAGAGACAAAGGTTTTTACTAGGGCTGCAACTAACGATTATTTTAAAAATCAATGAATCGGACGATTATTTTTTCGATTAATCGATGAATCGGACAAAAAATATTTTTTATATTAACCTCTTTATTCCAAAATAAACATTTTAGACAGAACAAACAAGCACACAAGTACAGGTTGCTCATTAACTGTACTGGTGTAATATGAAAAATAAATGTTTGTTAAAACTACACAAACTTACATGAGAAATGTAGCTGTACATCCACAAAATATAGGGTACTTTGTTTCATAAAGCGCAAAAAAGACAGGCATTTTTGTTTTTCAAAGCCCCTAAGGGGTTCAAACAATAGGTCCCCCCATTTCAACAAATGAGTTGTTTTTTTTGACTAGAAGTGTTCTGCCTTTTAAGACAGGAAAGTATAGCAGTTAAAGTTGCTACTTGAGAAAATACTTAACATAGAGATAAAAATAGCCCTGTGATTCAAATTATAAATTGTATTTGGAATAAAAATGAGAGAACTAGGGGTGCTAAAAAAACACATCCTCCAAAGACAGATATTTTACATGGGAATGTGGCATATAATTAATTGACATATTACTGACCTTGCTGGATTTTATTCTGCTTTACTTCCATAAATTGCAGGATCTTCTTTACTTTATCTTTGCCAGAAGATTTAAACTTTAAAAGCCTTGCCCTCATAATTTGAAAGTTAATTTATTTATAAAGAAAATATAAACGCTGCTTAAGCTAATTCAAATGAAATTAAAAGTAAAATAAGTAGCCAACCTTATCACTGTCTGTAACCTACTAACACGGTAAGGAAAGCATCAGATGAGCTACCTGAGAAACTAACGTAACGTTTCCCCACTTTAAAACCAAACAAACATGGTGGTTCCCTGCCATGTTAATTTCTTTTGAAAAAAGTAGCATGTTATCACTTTTTTCACTTTACAAAGCGCAGGCTATTTTAATTATTGTGATCAATTTGCGCCGTCAATCCCGGTGCATGCGCGCTTCATTTGCAGTCTGGACGCTGAGGCTCTTACTGCAGCGCTGAGAGGGACTACTTCGGGAAAACGTGGTTGGGTTGGGGGAGGCGCCCCACGGCAGAGTAGGAACGATACATGCTTTCACGTAAGAGTCTCCAAAAGCCGCCAGTGACACCGAAAAAAGTCGCCAGATTTGTCGCTAGTCGCTTTTTTGAAAAGTAGTCGCTGGAGGGGTCTGAAAAGTCGCTGAGTTGGCAACACTGCACCTGCAGCGCTGACTCGCTCTGCCGTATTTTTTTTTCTTCCTCTTTCAGTCAAGAGGCAGTGATGACGGCGGCAGATGACGCATTTATCGCGCGACACAACTAATCGATGATGAAATTCGTTGCCAACGCTTTTAAAAGTCGATTTTTATCGATTTTATCGATTCGTTGTTGCAGCCCTAGTTTTTACTTTTGAAAAGTCAGCAGAGGGCGGCCTCTTTCTCAGCGCAGGCATAAGTTCCTGCTACTGGATCCTGAACAGAGAGGAATAGTGCTGGAATCAACTATAATCCAGCCACAGCCTCTGGAGGAGGCGGGAGTAACTGATTTAAAACATTTATAAATTACCACATGTTGTCCGAAAACAGGGTCCAATTTCACTTGCGCCCATTCTCCTGTTTGTACGGTAAAGCCCTCCGGAGCGTCCAGCTCCAGGCTGCACATGATATAAATTAGCCAATGAGCTGCTGTCAGTCAGGGTTGCTGCTGCTGCTACTTTTAGACACAGCAGGCAAACCTGTGGCAAGCCGGGTGATGGGAAAGAAGGAGAAGATGATGAGAAAAACAGAGCAGAGAAAGTGTGAACTGCTGGAAGAACTGTGGTGAACTGGTGAAAGAAAAGTGAAATGGTGCTCAAAGATGACCCTGCACATTTAGAGTATGTTTTGCTCAACCAGCTGCTGTTAAGCAGGATTCTCCACCATGAACAGAATCAAAAATAAATCTGGATCCAGGTAGCCTGATAAATCAGACTAAATGTGAAATTAAATGTGTAATTTAGTCTGGCCCTGATGAATGAGACATCGGAAGATTGTTCATAAGAGCAATCCGTTGTCTTTCAAACCGCTGTCTGTGCCTATTGGCCAACGCTCTGACCAATGAGCGCAACAGACTGTGACTTAGTAAGCGTGACAGAAAGCTGGTGGGGGAGTGTAAACAAACAGCCTGTCGGTAAAATGGCGACTACGTCCTTCTCAAACATGAATGAGCGTAGAGCCTCTTCCTGCTCACGTTTCGACGAAAACCCCAAATCTAATCCTTCCAAACTGATTCCAGAGCTGAGTCAAACGAGAACAGTTCAATAGTTGTTGCCATCTTCCTTGTTGTGCTTTCTCCAGCGTCACGCAGCTTTGTTGTCACGCCCTCAAAACCCCATCCAGAAATTCAAAACACATCTCTGCGTTGTGATTGGCCCGCCGGTTCTGGGGCCTGGGGCATTGATCGAGGCTAGACCACTCGCAGGCAAAAATTATTTTGGCCGCTGGCGAGTGGGGCTAGTTTACTAGGCTACGATACAGGCTCACGAATGAGCACCTTGATATGTGCTTTAGAATCGCTTTATCACCATTTAAACCCAGGTTTAAAGCCTTGCAGTTCAGCCTAAAGCCTACTGCTCTCATTAAGCCATAAAGAAGAAAGAAAAAAATAACAAACGGTCAGTTCAGGTGTTTTATAAATTATATGAAACAGAAAAAAGTCAATATACCAAACTGAACGATTGTTGTTTTCTACTTTTAAAAAAACCACTTTCGATTTTTTTATTATAAGTCAATGTATAACATGGATGCATAAACACCTCGTTTTATTTCAGTGTTAAATTATGCTTAAAGTAACGGATTATAATGAATAATGTTACTGTTACTGGATGATGATTTTCTTTGTTCCGACCCTGCTGATGTCATTTAAATTTAATTGGTTACCACTGATCTAAAGTGTCCCTGTAACAGCCCTCAACTAAGCCGTAGATCAAATAAAAGATAAGCTAATATAGAGCCTCAGTAATGCGGCTCTAAATGCTGTTCCTGCACATTGGTATCTACCAGTGTTCTACGAACATGGAGCCTGTCTGAGTCACCTCCTTCCCTTTAGAGCCTTGTGGGAACTACCAATAAAAAAGGACAGAGAGCTGCTTAGAACAGACATTCATCACACTGCGTGATTGACACTATATTTTATTGAATCTCCGCCGTCCACATACTCAGCAGACAAACTTCAAATCCTGCAAATGAAGAAACCCTCCCTCATAAAAAAATCTGTTTATGTGTTCTGCCTGTTAAGTATTAAAACCTCAACAACAACAACAGCCTGATATAAAGCGACCTCCTCACTGGCTGCTGTCGCATATCTTCATGTCTCCCTGGCCGCTCTCACATTCGTCCCGCCGCTTGTTTTTCTGTCTCAGTCAGTTTGTCTGTCCGTCTGTCTTTCCACCATGTCGGTGTGTCTGCACGCACATCTGTCTGTGTCACTATTCATCTCTGTGATAGCTAAACACTGAGTGCATTCGTCTCCCTCGGTTTGATGCATGTCTGGGGGAAACATTAGCAAGACTAATCTTAGGCTTAGCTCATGTGAAGCTGATTGCTTTTCACCATCTCAGTTTCTGACACTGATATTGATGTAAGGTTTTAGGAAAAATGCTGTGTGAGATATAACAGCGTATTTTCACGCTGGTGTTATGGACTTCTAATCTGATCCATTTATCTGAGCAAACTATAATAGTCATGTTTTGGGATCAATACAAGTATGTGAATCTCTGAAAGGGATTTATGTCAATGTCCTGTTCATTATATGCTGTAGTTTTAAAATGTTAGGTGATTAGTGAAGTTATTCTTTTAAAGAATCTTTTTATGTCATAAATGCTGTGCAATCTAACTATATGCATTTCTTTTGTTTTTGTTTTTTCCCAGCTAGTGCGGTTATATCTGTGGTTTTCTTGAAGGAGACCATCAGACCCTCTGACATTGTTGGTAAGCAAACACTTTAGATCTATACATCATTGTCCTAGAAGTCAGAAAAATCTGTTTTGAATAACATAAAAAATATATAGAAGGAGTTACAGTGCGTGTGAAAGAGCATGCACAAGCTAATTTCTCCTCATGCACGTCCTGTTAAAAATTTGCTGTTCTCATGTTCACACAAGCTTACTGTATTTTATAGCAAACTCAGTTAACTGACCGTTTGGACAAATGATCACTGATGATCACTTTTTGCTATGTTGGCCATGTAACTCCTTCTCCACCACACGGTGCCATCTTTGTTATTAGTTGCCTCTGTTGGGTAGCGACAACCTATGGCCACAGCGGGCCACTGTGACAGCAAATTCCATATTGCTTTGCAATAGGGCTGCAACAACGAATCGATAAAATCAATAAAAATCGACTTTTAAAAGCGTTGGCAACGAATTTAATCATCGATTAGTTGTGTCGCGCGATTAATGCGTCATCCGCCGCCGCCGTCATCCGGGGGAAGAAAAAAAAATATGGCGGAGCGAGTCAGCGCCGCAGTTGCAGTGTTGCCAACTCAGCTACTTTTCAGACCCCTCCAGCGACTATTTTTCAAAAAAGCGACTAGCGGCAAATCTGGCGACTTTTTACGGTGTCACTGGCGGCTTTTGCCTGCCGTGGGGCGCCTCCCCCATCCCAATCCCTTTCTCCCTCTCCCACAGGAATCCCTCTCAGCGCTGCAGTCAGAGCCGCAGGATATTAGTGAGGAGTTTACCCTCAGCGTCCAGACTGCAAATGAAGCGGGCATGCGCCGGGATTGACGGCGCAAATTGATCACAATAATTAAAACAGCCTGCGCTTTGTAAAGTAAAAAAAGTCGTAACATGCAACTTTTGTAAAAACGAATGAACATGGCACGGAAGCACCACTGTTATGACGCAGCACCTGAAAAGAAAACACGTTGGAGCCTTCAATGGCAGTGAAGAGAGCTGATCAGCAGGATGAGCGACCATGTTTGTTTGGTCTTAAAGTGGGGAAACGTTAGGTTAGTTTCTCAGGTCGCTCATCTGATGCTTTCCTTACCTTGTTAGTAGGTTACAGACAGTAATAAGGTTGGCTACTTATTTTACTTTTAATTTCATTTGAATTAGCTTAAGCAGCGTTTATATTTTCTTTATAAATAAATTAACTTGCAAATTATGAGGGCAAGGCTTTTAAAGTTTAAATCTATTGGCAAAGATAAAGTAAAGAAGATCCTGCAATTTATGGAAGTAAAGCAGAATAAAATCCAGCAAGATCAGTAATATGTCAATTAATTATATGCCACATTCCCATGTAAATATCTGTCTTTGGAGGATGTGTTTTTTAGCACCCCTAGTTCTCTCATTTTTATTCCAAATACAATTTATAATTTGAATCACAGGGCTATTTTTATCTCTATGGTTCAGTATTTTCTCAAGCAGCAACTTTAACTGTTATACTTTCCTGTCTTAAAAGGCAGAACTCTATTAGTCTAAAATAAAACTCCTTTGTTGAAATGGGGGGGCCTATTGTTTGAGCCCCTTAGGGGCTTTAAAAAACAAACATTTATGAAACAAAGTACCCTATATTTTGTGGATGTACAGCTACATTTCTCATGTAAGTTTGCGTAGTTTTAACACAAACATTTATTTTTCATATTGCACCAGTACAGTTAATGAGCAACCTGTACTTGTGTGCTTGTTTGTTCTGTCTAAAATGTTTATTTTGAAATAAAGAGGTTAATATAAAAATTTTTTTTTGTCCGATTCATCGATTAATCGAAAAAATAATCGGCCAATTCATCGTTTTTTAAAATAATCATTAGTTGCAGGCCTACTTTGCAAGGAGAGCTCTCCTAGTCACCAATTTAGTGCTACTCGATCCCAATGTAATTTCCCATTAGGAACCCACTAGCACTGAGTTGCTAACTGGCTAGCAAGATGCTATCGAGAAAACAGCCACAACCAAACTTGCTTGCGAACCTTCCACCACAACAATCCCGCCCCCTTGATAAACCACCAATCACATTCACTTTATTCACTCGTGTAAAGTCGTGCACCACTCGGGAGAATTCGTAAATGCAACGGTTGGAACAGCCGCTTCCCTACGACTTTAACTGTTTTAGGAGAAAGGTTCCTGGACATTGGCAAAGTGGGGTTATACAAAGATTAAGCAAAAGATGAGAAATTAAAGCTATTTTTTTACTCAGTTAACAATAAAAGATAGATTTTTGTATTCAAATAAGAATATACTACTGCAATAACATTATCAACAAATGTAATATTTACTAAAATGGAAGTCAAAGTGCATCTGATTCATTCACTAGAAAAAAAACTCAGCTTTGCTCAGACCTAATCACAATGTTTTTATCCTACAACAATGTTTTGAGTGTGCTGACAAATCTGGAAATTCATATCAGCACCACACAGCTTTGGATATTGTTGCTTTCCCAAATAAAAGAGCAGCAATTTTTGCCGTCCTTGTTTTTCATGCTATAATTGCTGCGTGGCATTCAGAGATAATTTGGAGACATTTTCGCTGTAAAATGCATTGTTGGTAATGAGATGTGGTAATGAAGTAGGATGGTTTTTAAATAATGTGCTGTGTGCAATGAGGTAAGAAATCTATAAAGCTAAACAAAACAGGAATCTGGTTGGGGAGATTAGCTGTACTCTTTCCAGCATTTTTTTTCTAATGAAAGGAGGATATTAATGCCATAAAACATCCGGAGTCCAATCTAAAGTCAGAATTCTACCAAAAGTGCATGTATGCATTAAATACTCACACAAGCAGTTTTTTTCTCTAAGATAAACACACTAGTAAACTACTCTCCACAAGCATTCATTTGTACTTTTTAAGCATGTAGATTCAGTACCATGACACCACAGTGTGCACACTCCTTCTATGCACTGGTTGACTTTCTACACACCAATGGCCACTCTCCTGTTTCCTGCAGATCTGTTTCTGAACCCTAATGTCATGTTTTGTCACTTTGGGGCTGTAGTTACTGGATTGAAAATGTAAATGAGCGCTCATTTAAGCCTAATTTTCCTCAATTGCCTAATTTTCCTCAATAAAAACAGTGAAGCTCCACATTTAACATTAAAGTCGTAGGGAAGTCAAATGTGAGTCAATTTATATATGATATATATAGTCAAGACATATACATATGAAATTGTGAAATTGAGAACTTCATATATACTAAGCTAACATTAGCTTCACTGTTTATATTGAGAAAAGCGAGGCACATTTAAATTTGAACACGAACAATTACTTCTAAAATACGTTTTTATCTGCTGTTAAAAACTTTCTTTTGTGGCCAACATTAAAGTCGTAGGGAAGTCATATTTAAATGTCAAATCATTCTGGCTTAAACATGTATATAAATGTACTTATTATCAGACCATATTGTCCCAAAAGTTAGAAAATTTCTATTTTGAAAAAATCCTGTTTTAAAAACTGTGGCGGTTTTTTCGTTATTTTATGCAGGCCAGTTAGTTATATGTCAGCTTGTACACCTAAATTCGGCCAATCATATATCGACGGTCATTTGTCAATCACTATTTTTCGGTCATAGCATCTTGATTCATATGTCGCAGCTAATATATGCCACTGTTGAAATAGGAATCATTTCCTTTCCCATTGAGTTCCGTCCCAGTGTTCACGGGGATGGACGTCTGTGTCTTCAGCAGGCGTAGAGCTAACAGAACTGCCAGCGTTGCAAGGCAAGGGCTCAAACATGTACGGCTGTAAGCCTTCTACACCAAACCAAGCTTCTGTCGCACTGGCGTCCTCTTCCACAACATCTTCATCCCCGCTTTCCTCCTCTAAATAAAAAATGTATGATGATGGAGACTCATCCACGACCTCCGACACTAAACGCTCCTCCTCTTGCATGTTTCCGCTGTCCATAGCGTTCCTTGACAATGTTGTTTCCAAGTCACCAATTTAGTGCTACTTGGTCCCAATGGAATTTCCCATTGGGAACCTACTAGCACTAAGTTGCTAACTGGTTAGCAAGATGCTAAACAGGAACAGGCGAGGGAAAGCTGCTATGCGAAAAAGCAGAGAGAGCAGAACGTTAGAGATTGAACTACCGTAACAGATTCTGCAGAGTGGGAGAATAGAGATAGAATGAAGCAGAATGATGAAATAGGGGTCTCTATGTCCTCCAGCAGTCTAAGCCTATAGCAGCGTAACTATAGAGATAGCTCAGGATAACCTGAGCCACTCTAACTATAAGCTTTATCAAAAAGGAAAGTTTTAGGCCTACCCTTAAAAGAAGACAGGGTGTCTGCCTCACGGACTAAAACTGGTATTTGGTTCCACAGGAGAGGAGCCTGATAACTAAAAGATCCCAAAAAAGACAGAAATGTCTTTCTGTGACAAATTCAAGTGTATATTTTATTGCAAATAGGATAAGACTGTTTTCAGCAATTTAGCTACCTACAAGGAACTTTAAAAGCTTCAGTATGTAGGTCATTATGGAAGTTTTCATGGTCCCAATTTATTTGGAACAGTGTTGGCTGATCACTATTTCACAGAGTAACATGCAAAAAAATGTTAAACAAAATGTGACAGCCCTTTCTGCTCTCTTTTTCCCATAGGTTGCAGCCTGGCCATAACTGGAACATACGTCCTGGTGACCTTTGCACCCCACGCATCTACACACATCACAGCTCATCTGGTCCAGTACTATGCCGTCAGCTGGTACTTCCTGCTTTACCTTGTATGTAATTGGTGATGCCTATGCTGAAAACCAATGACAGTGTTTGAGATGACACATAAAGAAAGATTTGTTAGTAAAACAAAAAAAGCAAACAAAACAAATTAGAGTTCCTTCATCGGTGCTGTCGGACCTTTATTTGTCCCTTAAACTGGTGTTCTGCAATCGCATTGTTTAGATTGACCAACGTCAGAAAATGACTTAACTCAGCCCTCACACATGTTCAGCACCTGCTCTTCACTGGAAAAATGATCTAGAAATAAGTTAACATTTCTTAAACGAAGTGTATTTACTCTTAATTTGAGTAGGTAATTGAGATGATTTCCCAATGTAATGAGGATTTTTACTCTTAATATAAGATATTTAGTTAAAATGCGCTTGAAATTAGACAATGCAATTGTGTTTTCTTATTTTAAATGTACGGTGTCTTGTTCCATTGGCAAAATGTCTCTTTTACCTTCTCAATTCAAGAACAAATGCACTTATTAAAAAAAAAAAAAAAATGAAATATCTAGATTTAGATTTTTGCCAATGTTTTTTCCTCAGCGGTCCTTTGAAATCAGACGATTGTAGATTTTTTTGTCATAACAGTGTAAAAAGGAAATGCTTTAGTTTCATACTTGGAGTACATTACCACTCATCCATGTCAATCAGGTCTTAAATCACCTTAAGCAGCCAGGATATAAACTTAGCTGTTGCCATAGTAATATAACTGGATCAGAGAGCTGGGTTGAGAAAATATTATGCTTCTTTCAAAACCCACTCGACCTTGTAAACGGTAATGTTGGCTTTAGAACTGATCGCTTGACTGGATTTAAAAACACTTCAGAGGTGCTTGAAGATGTGTGTGTTATGCGGGGAGGTGGGGCTCCCTACTGCTTTAACTAGTTAGCTATTAACTAGGTAACTTGAGCACTTTGTTAATTTAGACAGTTTTTTTGTCACTTGTGTGAAAAAAGTTTTCAACTGTTTAGTCCAGTAAAGGAGATCAATGGATTTACTCAGTCGGCACTTTATTTACTTTGCAAAGTAAAGGAGAACAAGACATTCACATTCACAGCATGATGGTCTGCCAAGTTCTAACCTAGACAAAGTTGTTCCCTTACTTTTAAGGCAGAGTCAAAACAATAACAGACACTTTGGTTAAACAGTTACCTTGAAAAAGTATGTGGTTTTGTTATGGGAAAAAAGGTATGTCTTGTCTATAACCATCTTCCACTCAGACATTTTGTGGCCTTGCAAGTGAGACAAACTAGCTGAGAAAAAAACATTTTTAGAGAGTACATAGCATACATCAATATACTGAACTATTTTTAGAGGTACATCTAAAAAAATGTAATTTGTGTAAAAGTTGTTTTTCTTTTTTGTCACTCATTTTTGTACATTAATTTTACGCAGAGTGAAGAATATGACGCCTTTATGAGATTGAACAGATTGCATCCTGGTGTGGCATGAAGACGATCAGCCTGTGGTTCTGCTGAGGTGTATTGAAGCCGAGTTTGCTGTGAAAGCAGTCTTCTTTTAACCTGACTCCAGCAGATGGATTTGCTGGATTTGCTCCGCATATTCATCTGGAAACCTTCCGATGAAGTAATTTTGGGAAGGGGCAAAAATACTGGTTAGCTGATTGGCCTATGTTGGTGATAGACGGGCCAAATAAACCAATCAGATCAACGACGCATATGACGTACTAACAGAGCGACGAGGAAAACACAACCACAAGCCAGGCACAAGCCAATTGATAGATCAAACTCTTTCCGAAACCAGTCGGGAGAAGAGCAAAAACATCTTTTCCTCTGAGAAAAGCCTCCAGAGCAGTGTTTTGCTCTTCTTTAAGTGAAGAAATACTCTGTAATTCTGATAAAACTTGCTCGATGGCCACGCTAACGCTAGTTTCATCGGCTGAAGCCGCCATGTTCTTTAGACTGAACTGTTGCGCTTCTCGTTGCGTCACACCTCAACCCGCCTCAAAGCCAACACTGATTGGACGTTCGTTTGGTGAACTGCTCCAAATTTTCTTTAACGGAAAGTAGCCAGACTGATCTGCGAGTGAAACCTTGAAAGCTCGTGAGATCAGGATGGTCTCACGAGGCTAGCCTTCTTTGGCTCATGTGCATTGTTAGGTCCTGTGTCTCTCATCTGGATGGGATTCTCTAAAATATCCTGGTAGATAAATGGATCGACTTTGACTTCAGAAAGACAGTGGACCGACGGCAGCAGATGACAGGGTCCCCCCAAGCCTTCACTGACTGAGGAGACTTCATCTCCTTCCTGGGGACTTTGGCTAAAAGAACAATAGTTATTGCTTTTTCATTAACCATCAAATGGCATAAATTGTAATTATGATTATTTCACTAGATGGAAACACTTCAACTTAAAAAAAAAACTTACTATTTGATCTGTTTTTTTTTTTTTGTCATATCAAAATTCTTATATTTTGCAAAACTTCAATGGAAACACTCTCATATGTTGTGTTGCGAGAAAAGTTCTTTTTAAGAGGAATAAGAGGACCTGAGGTAGTTAGAGGATGATGGTGTGGCATTTTTGGATTCACAAGGACACTGAGTTTTTTTTTTGCATTAAGTCCATGATGATGCATACTAGAGCTGATGCTGAAATAGAGATTTATCTCGTGTTTACATCTGTCGCTGCCATGTTCTTTTCAAGAGTAGTTTTCATGAATGGAGGTATCCATCCACCCATCTTCTACCGCTTATTCCATCAGGGTCACGGCTGGGTGGGTGCCTTTCTCCAGCAGTCTATGGGAGCGGTGCACTGTGGATAGGTCGCCAGTCCATTGCAGGACCACACAGAGTCCCGCAACCATGCACACACACACCTAAGGACAAATTAAAAATTCTAATCAGCCTAACAGTCATGTTTTTTGGGGCTGTTGGAGGAAGCAAGAGTACCCGGAGAGAACCCTCATTGCTTAAACATAGCTGAAGATAGGTACCTAACATGGAAATGCCATAGTTGGAAAAAATAGAATAATGACATAGGTTCGTGCACATTGGTAATGGAAAATAAACTGACTACTACATCCAGTGTTTCACAAAAATATTGGCATATTCTGAGCCTTTTCACATTTTTTACAATACAAATATGAACTTTGATGTTTATTGGTGGATTTCATTCAGTGGAGAAATCAAACTATTGATGAGTAGTAGCCAATCACAGACAGTTTACTTTCCCCTGATGATTTCATCCTTAACGTGAGAAAAGTTTCCATAGGTGAAAAGAAACAGGTCCACATGCCAGTAGGGGAGGAGCATGAACTCATGTTTTTGATATTTTCTTAAGGTACTAAATCTGCACACATATGTTCAAAATCTACATTGAGAGTAGATTATGTTTGTGTGTTTAAAATAAAACTGATCATATGAGTATGTATTGATTGGGTGCACCTTGGGCAGAATTCGTATTTTATGTAAACCCAATTGGCAACACTGCACTGCACAGTCACACAGTCTCCCTCAGTGCTATGGAATCTGCTAACAGACCACTTTGGATCACTAGATTAGGAAGTTATGGATATCCTTGTAAATTCTAGGTCAGATTCACCTCCCTGGATTAAATATTTCATCAGAGAACAAACAATATGTCTGATCAGGTGGCCTAACAGCTTTTAGCGTGGTGAGCTCTGGTGTTTAAGGGAAGCTCAAATCCCTCTAAAGCAGATGTCATGGATTAGCGAACCAGGGTCTGGATCCGGACCCACCTGCTGGCTAATCCGGACCCAACCTGATTTAAAACATTTATAAATTACTGCATGTTGTCCAACAGCAGTGTCTAACTTCACTTGCCACTTGTCTCCATTAAAACCCAGGGTTTAAAGCCTTGCAGGGCATCCTAAAGCCCACTGCTCTCATTAAGCCATAAAAAGGTCAGGTCAGGTGTTTTATACAAAAAGTGAGTCAGGAATTTGTCTATATATCAAACTGAGCGATTGTTGTTCTTTACTTCAAAAAACAATTTAGATTTTTTTTTTTTATCAATGTATAACATGGATGCATAAACACCTCATTTTATTTCAGTGTTAAATTCTGTTTAAAAAAACAGATTATAATTAAAAATGTCTTCGGACCTTACCTGGTTGATGATTTCCTTTATGCAGACCCTACTGATTTTTAATTGGTTACCGCCGCTCTAAAGCATTGCTCTCAGTCACATGACTCATTCAGTGATGGATCCGACCCTCAAACTACAAAGGCGAGTTTTTAAGTGGGCCAGCCCACATGGAGCATTAATGCACCGCTGTATATTGATCTAAAACATTATTTAATATGTCTCAAATTAAGCTAATTCCTGAGTTAAAATTTTGTTAGTTTAAGAGCTGTAAAATTTGGCATGTTCAATGTAGCTTAACCCTGCACTGGGAAAAACAATCTAGCAATGGAATGACTATTTTTACTCTTAAAATAAGATAATTAAATAACATGCACTTGAAATAAGACAATGCAATTGTGTTATTTAATTTTAAATGTAAATTGTCTTGTTCTATTGGGAAAATTTCTCTTTTACCTCTTCAATCCAAGAACAAATGCACTTATTTTATGAAAAAATGACTAGATTTCGATTTTTTTCGAAAGTGATCCAACGCTGCAAAACTGATCATAAAATGAGCAAAAAAAATTATCTTAAAATAAGTTTATCTACCCTTAATTTAAGTGGGTAAATAAAATTGTCTGCAAAAGGAATAGGTATGTTTAGCCTTAAAAAAATAGATATTATGCACTTGAAATAAAAGACTGCAGTTGTTTATAGAATATATATTTTAAAAGTAACCTCATTACCTTTAACAGACCATAATCACACTGCAAAAAAGATCTAGAAATAAGTAAGAATTTCTTAAATTAAGTTTATCTCATTTAAATGAGATAGTTTGGCAATGGAATGAGTATTTTTTACTCTTAAAATAAGATGATTAGATAATATGCAATTGAAATAAGACAATGCAATTGTGTTTTCTTATTTTAAATCTACATTGTCTTGTTCCATTGGCAAAATGTCTATTTTACCTCCTCAATTCAAGAACAAATGCACTTATTTAAAAAAAAAATGACTTATCTAGATTTCAATTTTTTCCAGTGCACCAGTGTTTAAAGAATAGATCAATATTTACCCTCTTTTATAGCTTGTAGCATTTTGTCATTTATAATAATAGCAAAGACCTAATATGTGTTAATTAAAATTTGATATGTCACTAGTAAAAATAACTGGCAGCTATTTAGGTGATCCATGTTCCAAAATGGAGGCATTATTTCAAAGCAAAAGTCAATGAACAGGATTCACAGAGGAGGAATTTTTTATTCAATACAGGCATAATGAAACCATTCACTTCATAGTTATGTCTGGTTTGAGTATTTTGGTAAAACAGACTACAGGAGGGATTAATGACATTCAGAAGCAGCAGACCTGTAGCATGTCGGCTCATGAGTGGAGATGAGCAGAGATTAGAAGAGCTGAAAAAAGTAAAAATACCGGAAATGGAAAAGTTTGAAAATTCCATTCCCTTGACAAACAGTCACACCTCCCCAATTCAAGAAAAAAAGTGCTTAATTTAAGAAAAATTACTTAGATTTTTTTTGCGATTAACCTTTTGTGCTCCTTGATCTTAATGATGCTGTTTGCTCACAAATGCTCTCTAAAGAAGCTTTGGGGCTGAGAGCCGAAAACTGGACTTCAAAGGTGTCTGCATATTATTTTTCCTAATTTAATATCTGTGAATCATTTATTCAACTTCTACTTGATGCTCATCTGTTGCATACAATCCCAGTAAAACACATTAAAGTTTGTGGATTTTAATTGTAACAAAAGAAAAAAGGAGATAAGGTCAAAGTGTGTTAATGTTTTTGAACGGCACTGAACCCGTCTTCAGCTGCCGGGGCATCGATATTCAGGACACGTCACCTCCTCAGCCTGTATCATTCCACCTTTGAAATCTGTTTTTCCTGACCTCTAAAAACCTTGATATTGAAACAGCAAGTGCATAAAAATGCACCAGAGAAATAAATGTCTGTGCAGGTGAAACCAGACGGATGTCTTGGAAGACAGATGTAGTTAATGGCCCCTTCTTTTTTCAGGTTGCAGTGACGGTAATCCAGAAGAACGCTGTTTGCCTTTTCTGGCTGTGCATTAGTTAACTCTCTCCTCAACTGGCAGAATGATTGCCTCCAAAAAATGTGGGATTAATTGTAGCTGGTGATTAATCAGAGGAAATGAAATATTATTGCTGTCTGGTGATCATTAGCAGAGGGTGTCCCATCGTGTGGTTTAGAAGAGCCCTTGCTGGTATCCCCAGTGTGTGTGTGCTGCCGTTAATGACCCAGGTCTCCGGTAATCCATTTTCACATAGAATAATTACATTCTGGAATAAGTCCTTTATTTAACATACTTTAGAGACATTTAAAGGTTACCTCGCCCTTTTCCCCTCAGCACTGCTGCATCCATTAAATCTGCATGCTGTCCGTGAACAGCCGGACTCACAAGGACAGCTCCAGGCCCTTCTCATTAAAGACAAGAAATGCATTTCTTTTTTTTTCCTCAGCAGTGTCATTTATTTTAATTAAATTGTGTTGTTCTCTGGCTTTGCGTTGCCTTTTCTTATAGATATGACAATGAGGGAAAGTTCAGTGCTGATTTTCTGTTTTCTAAACAACAGTTGAGAAATGAATACATTATTAACTCTCATAACCTTCCTTTCTTTTTCTCAACAGTTTATAGAGGTGGTCGTGTTTTGCATTCTGCTCTATCTATACAAGAAGAGAGGTGTGAAGCACATTGTGATCGTGATGCTGCTGGTGGCCCTGCTCGGTAGGAACTGCTAGAAAAGTGTCTAAAGCAGGCCAGAGGTTATAGATTAAGCTATTTTAAGTAGGCAGAGGTGGCCTAGTTGCTTGGCTACCAGAAACAGACTTCTGCTATTGTTTCTGTTAAAAGATGAGTAGAAAACAATGGGAACAAATATTAATTCACATTTGCAGAGAAACCACCTCCACAAGTTTAACAAAACAGGGAGGTGGATTGTTTTTTGTTTTTTTCTACAAGTTGAACAAATGCTGAAGCGCTGCTCTGCCTTTGCAGCCTCTCTTACGGTCATCTCGGTCAAAGCCGTGTCAGGGATGATCACAGAGTCGATAAAAGGCCAGCTGCAGCTCATCTACCCCATCTTCTACGTCATGCTCGTCGTCATGGTGGCCTCCTGCGCTTTCCAGATCAAGTTAGTCAAGCTTTTATTGTTCCCAGCCTCTGTGTGATCCTTATTTTAAATCACCCCTGTTCACAACAGGCTCAATGTATTTAGTGGATTTCAGTTTTCTAAACATAGATCATTATGCAATGTTTGGTTGAAAAAAAGGGGGGAAAGATAACTTTGCTTTTGTTTTCTCCACAGATTCCTAAATCAGGCAATGAAAATGTTTGATGCCACGGAGGTGGTTCCCATCAACTTTGTGTTTTTCACTGCAAGCGCCATCATTGCAGGTATGCAAAGTATTCTCTGAAGAGATTCTTTTGAACAATGTAATAATTGTCAGATTTTTTTATATAGATATTGTCATGATGTTACAAAGTTCAGACCCAGATGCAAAAAAACCAAACAGAGAGACCAGGGAAAAGGTTTAATGGGTTTTATTGAAGAAGTTTAGCAGAGGGACAAGTGTTGCTCTGAACAGTGCTCAACAGGAACTGTAAAGTGAGAGGAAGACACAGCGGTTAGTTCAGGCTCAGTGGGGAATTTGAGTCGAGAACTTGGGGAAGAGGATTTGGTTGCCGAATCACGTTTCCAGAGAAGTTGTTGAATCCTTGGCTCCTGTCTTTGTGCCGTGGTTCGAGTGTTTATCTTATTCGGTGGAGGGCGGAACAGGAAACCTCCTGTTTGAATCCCAGCTCAGTCTGAAGATCAGTTGATCCTTCCAGGGAGAGAAGGTCCGAGAGATCCAGTTTGCAGGATGACTTCCTGCCGAGAGGCAAAGACAATAACAAAGTTAAACTCAGGTTGACAAAAAGCTCAGCTTGACTCAGCAAAAAAACTCCGCTTGGCTAGAGTACCCTAAACTGGCAAACACTCTGGCGTCGAGGTAGTGGCAATCAGCAGCTTAAGAACACTCTGTTTAACGAGGAAACCATCAGCAGGTGTGTGAGGAGGCGGACCAGAACCAGGCTCCTCCTGGTGGAGGAAGGGAGACATACACAGAAACACAACACAAAAACAGGAGTCCTGACAGATATTTTCATTAAACATTCTGACAGATAAAAAAAAAAATCCACAAAGTTTTAATTTAGACTATTTGTGATATTTTAGGCATAAACATTATATATACATTATATTAAACATTGCATGGATGATTAAGGGCCGTACCTCCACATAATTTAGAATATATTTATTTTTAAAGAAGAAAATTTTATGGACATTTACTTATTTAATTATGCATTTTATAATTTGATTATATATTTACTATAATACTGAAAGCAAAATAAATGATATATACCGTATAAAACCTAAAAGTTACATATTTTCTGATACATTTGTTAACATTTGCATTTCTGTCTTTCATTATATTTATTGGCCCTCCATACATCTCGTAGATCACAGCACAATCATAAACCCGACTTTGGGAACCCCTGATGTATTGTTTTGTATTGTTTGTTGGTCTGAGCCCTCTTTGCTCACTGCATCAGTTTGTCATGTTTGGTGGCATTTCCCCCTCATTTGAGTGATTCCAGAAAGACCTCACTGGAAAAAATGTAAATCTAGATAAGTTGTTTTTTCTTAAAATAAGTGCATATGTTCTTGAATTGAGGACATAAAAGAGACATTTTGCCAATGGAACAAGACAATTTAGATTTAAAATAAGGAAACACAGCTGCATTGTCTTATTTCAAGTGCATATTATCTAATTATCTTATTTTAAGAGTAAAAATACTAATTCGATTGGTCAATTATCTAATTTGCCTATTCAAATCAAGGGTAAATACACTTAATTTAAGAATTTTTTACTTATGCTGATACCACAATAGTTTAAACATGAAATGTATCCTCATCAGCACCCCTGGTACAGATGTCTAAAAAATAAATCAATAACATGAACTTTAATTGAGGTACAATAGTCACACGATAATATTTCTTTGAAAAACAATCTAGCTGTACCTTAAAGGTCAAATACAGACAAATGCTTCTGATCAAATTTACGGATAAAGATGAAAAAAAAATAAACAACGTTGAGAAAGAAAAAGGTCGTCCTCTTTAGCTGCCTGGTCTGGAGAACTGCTTCAGTTTCAGAGGCAGGAACCAGACCAGTGATGTTATTCGGCTGTTTGCTTCTTTCCCTGCATGGTCTACTGCTCCGTTTCCCTTCTAAGCCGGACATATTTCAGTACCAATGACCCACTTCAGAGCCAAACACTCCAACTGTTGCGCTGCATACTGGGTTTCCCTTGGAAACCGCTTCCTGCTAATACATGCGGCTGGTTTCTGGTCGCCTCCCTCTCACTGTAAAAGAACTCATCCATGTTTTCCAAAAGAGCATCAGGTTAAACAGGAAGAGATACAGTGCCTAGCTCCAGTAATCATTGGATGAGAGGAAAGGTTAGCAAAAGGTCAAGTTGTGCTGCTGCGATAAATGATTTTCATGTGTTGGAAGTGTTTCATCTCAAGGTAAAGTTTCCTAAAGTTCAGGATCTTCTATCTTTGTCAAAACTAAACTATACACAGAATTTTCTCCTCCAGAATGAAAGTAAGTCTGACTTCATCATTTTTGGTTCCAGGGATGTCCTTCAGGTTCAGTCCAGGAACAGGGGTTCAGTTAGCATTGCCGTCAGGAACCTGGGAGTTGTCTTCATATTCTCAAAAACATCAGGAAAAATGTGCTGCTTGAATGGTCTTTTTTATGAGGAATTATTAAAAGAAAAACAGGAAAGTAGTCTTTGAGGTGCAAATGTTTTTTTTTTTATTTTAATAATTTTTTCCATTTGAAATCCCATTTCAGTACATACTAAAAAGGAATCCTGGAATCCTGGAAAATTATACTAGGCAGGTTTAAGTGCGGATTTTTTACTGAAAGCCGGCGGGCAAAGTTTGCAGAGAAATGTAAGATTGTTGCCATCATCCTCACCGACCACCTGGTCAGAAACCTGTTTTAAGTGATCATACTGCTGCTTTGTCGCCTCCACGGTCGCCTCCATGCTGCTGTGGCTTCCACGCTGCATTTCGTTTTGATGACGCACGTGGCTGTAGGCTACGGCACTGGTAGCTGGTTTTGCCAGATTGGGTGTTTTTCCCGCTACATATTAAGGCCTGTTTACGGTGTGATTTAGCCGGGGTTTCGCCTGGAGGGCTCTATAGTAATTTGGCAACCTACGGAGTTGAACTGAGAGAGCGTGCCGTTCACAGACACCAGAATGAACGAGTTCACAATAACGTTCATTAGGCAGTAATACAGTACGTTCAGTTCACGTTCACCCAAAATATGAACGAGTTCATGAATTTTCATTCAATGAACGCGTTCAGGCACAACAGTGACAACAAGGGGTCTTGAGGGGAACGCCAGAGCAGAATCTGAACATCAAAGATTCAGGAACCAGTCCTCAGCGCACAGAGACACGAAATGTAAGAGAGCCAAAGCACAACAAACTGAGGGAGACAGGAGACAGAGTTAGAACTAGGAATCCGAAACGAATAACTCACAGGAACTGTGACTGTCGACTGGACAGTGTCCTAGGCGTACCACAATGGTCTAACACTCTGGCGTCCTTCAGCTGACTGAAAACTTCTTTTTAAGTTCCAGCAGAGCAGCCCCAACGAGCTGCAGGTGCGGGGCCACGTCCACCTGTCCACAACAGCCACCTGTGGAAGAGAATCAGCAGAGCATAGAACACAGAATTCTGACAGAAACCCTTTCTCTCACACCAAGACCTGGAGAAGGTGATTCACGCATTAATTAGTTCTCTGTTGGACTACTGCAACGCTCTCTACTGTGGCCTCCCACAGTCATCACTCCAACGGTTACAGTTAGTACAGAATGCAGCAGCTCGTCTCCTCTCTGGCTCATCCAGGCAAAGCCACATCACTCCCATCCTCTCCTCCCTGCACTGGCTCCCGCTCCGTTTTAGGATTTATTTCAAAGTTTTAACACTTGTTTTTTAAAGCCCTTCATGGTCTCGCACCGCCTTATTTAGCAGGGCTGATCTGCTGATGAAATGGTTCTGGACGTCCCCAGGTCCCGGTATAAGCAGTGGGGCGATCGTTCCTTTGTGGTTACCGCAGCTAAACTGTGGAACAATCTGCCCCTCGGTCTGCGGATTCTCACTGATCTGCATCTTTTTAAATCCAGATTAAAGGATCTTTTTTTTAAACTCGCTTTTAGTACTTAATTGTTGTTATGCTTATGATTTTTTATTTATTTTTTGTTTTTGTTTTTATCTTTCTGTGAAGCACCTTGGTCTTCCTGGTGTTGTTGTAAGGTGCTATATAAATAAACTGATTTGATTTGATGTAGTTACTCTACAGCAAATATGTTAACACAGAAAACATTTCTTCAGTACCTTAGATTATGAGTCATTAACACAGCCAGGTCTGAAAATGCTCAATAAAAAGTTGGTTAAATTAAATGTTTAGGGTCTGTAAAATAGAACAATTGATGTTTCCAGCTGAAGCGCTGAAATAATGTTTTATCCACAATTACTGACAAATTGAACAGGTTAATAATTAACAGATGACTGCAGGTTTTCTATGGAGTAAATGGTTCATTATTACTGGACCCAAAGAACATGTTTTGTAATTGGAAATTTGACAAACATTTCTTAACAAAAAAGATTTTCAGACTAACTTTTTTTTTCAAATGTGTTTTTCATATTTTATTTTTTCAGTTTTTCAGATAGAATTTTAGGAATTGCATTCTATTCAAATTGAGTTTTACAGATCACTTTCTCTTAACTTCAGAGGGGGAGTGGCGGCCAAACCCACAGACTGCCACTCTGTGTCTTTGTGCAAGACCCTTAACCCCAAACTGCTCCCCGGGCGCCGCACAATGGCAGCCCACTGCTCCCCAAGGGCATGGGTTAAATGAAGAAGTAATTTTCTCCAATGTGTGATTAATAAAGTTCAGTTTTATCCATCCATCTATTTCTGTCACGATTATCCATTCTGGGGTCACGAGGGGTGCTGGTGCCTATCTCCAGCTGTCTACAGGCAGGGTACATCCTGGATGGGTCGTCAGTCCATTGCAGGCCAACACAGAGACAACAACCATTCACGCACACACTCACACCTAAGAAGAATATAGAGAAGCAGATGAACCTAACAATTATGTTTTTGGACTGTGGGAGGAAGATGGAGTACCCAGAGAGAACCCAAGCATCCTCAGGGAGAACACGCAAACTGCATGCAGAAAGACCCCAGGCCGGGATTCAAACCCAGAACCAAGGCAGCAGTGCTACCCACTGTGCCACTGACCAGCCCTCTGATTACTTTTATATACTATATTTATATATATGTTATTTTTTTCTTTATTACGCACATCTGAGGGCCTTTCCTTTGAAGGGAGAAGCAAAGATAGTTGGGTTTGGGGGCTGGTGGTAAATAAATCCTTGCTGCCCCCCAAGCTTATATTACGCTGGTGGAAAGCCTGCCTGCCTGTTAAAGGATGAAACTCTCCACTTGTTTTTGACTTCCGTCCAGGCTCGGACGGGTAATCTGTGATATCGGGCATTTGGCCGGTGGGCCGGTCCTAATTTCAGCGTGCGAGGGCCGGCCTTCGTTTAATCATACCGGCCCCAACACTTAGTCTACGGCAGAAGCACCTACCGGTGACAATATATAACTCAAGGAGCTCAAGAAGTAATACAATATTAACTACCTATATCATGCATGCAGTATATATAGCCCTTCCTTGTCATCCTTCATCCTTGTGACGGTTGGCATATGGTGTAAGTTTCTATTTCTTCAAACTGTAAAATCTTTGCAACAAACTAAATTAAAATAAAGCTAAACTTCTTTCTTTAAAACAGACTACGTTGTTCCTCTATAATAAGTGGGCTGGTGTAGATGGAAAAATGCCAGGGCCGAAAATCGTTCCCAGTCTGGGCCTGCCACCATCTAAATAAACAGAACATTTCTAATACATTATTTTGAGCCTAACAAATAACCTTTTAAGAAGCGATCACTGTAAATTCTGCCAGTTGTAGTTGCTTTCCAGGTCTCTCTCACGACAGCCACTGTCTCGCTCGCCTTTCTGGGTATTTAGGAAAGCGATAAAATGAGATGCCGTCCTTTCTTTCTTGTCAGCTGGTACACCAGTATTGGTGTTTTAGAGGTAGTATGGTGAAAAACAACCGTAGTTGCTAGTTGTTTTCTATGTATGTAAGGTTTTGTTTTGCCATCCAAAGAGGAGCGGTCGCAGGCGTCACCTGATTGGCTGACATCAGCTGTACTATTGGTCTGCATGGATGCTAGCAACATTTTTTTTGGTCAATGTGCGGTTCAAAAGTATAAATGTTATCTGAGAAACACAATTTGAAAACAATGCAATTTGTAAAACTACATTTGAAAACATACAAAAATAAAATAACATATAAATTCTGCAAAAACACATAGAAGAGATAAAATTTTAAGTTAAAATATGTAAAAAAAAAAAAAAAATTTAATTGGATAAAATAAAAATAAATAATATGGAAAGTATAAAATAGGCAAAATATGCAAGAGAAATAAAGTATTTGTTTTAATCAAAAAACATTAAAAAAAATCAGATAAAAGTCTGTACTGTTTGCCAACCAGTTGCTTAAATGCTCATGACGCTCTGCTCCTGCTATCTGAAATACGCTGCAGGAGCTCTTGATGCGCCTTTATGCGCTTTAACCATAGACTTTGCATGTAAACCAGCTGCTTCTGTTCAAAGCACGTTCGGTGTGAACTCTGCAGAACAGATAACCCAATCAAACCTTTAACTTAACGCTTCAAAAGATATTCAGCAAGCTCAAGTCGCCACCAACTCACAAAGGCTTGTCAGATTTTCTCCCTCGTTTTGCAAATTTTTTGGGCTTTTACCTTCAGTCTGAGATGTAACGAAGAGACGAAGCCATTTCTAAATCATCCATGTTGCATGACTTTAACCTTCTATTTTGCTGCTTTTGTGTCAATAAGACAACATCCCCAAATTGACGTCCATTCGGTGCTACGTTTAGATTCGCCCGTTTTATGGTGGAAGTTTAGAATTGTGAGATTTGCAGAGAAAGGAGGTGTTAATGGGGTTTGAACTTCTCCGTACGTCCGTTTCACGCACTGAACCATCATAATTAATTTATGCAAAGGAAACTCGGTTTTGCATTTTATGACCCCTTTAATGCTTTTGACACATGGGACATATCCTACAACTCTCTGCAAGTGAAGTCATTAAAGATAAGTTCTAGATGTTCATTTCTGTGCAGCATCATGAGCACAGGTCTGTCACCATAGCGGGGGAAAAGTCACAGCGTGTGTTTGGAGTGACTCTCCTTTAGAAAACAGATTATTTTTCTTGATATTACTATTGCTGTATCTGCCCACACAAATAACACACGATTGACTCTGCGGAATAACAAATTGCTTCTGTATTTTATCAGCAGTGGAAGAACATCCGTGGGCGACTTTTGCTCGTAAGATTAGTTTTTTGTCCACTGTGAAGATAATGAATGTTTTGTTTTTAACCTTCTAATATCCAGAGCAGAGAAATGCATGATGAAAACGTTTGTGTCTGCCTTTTGGCAAGTTAATCAGATCCTGAGAGAATGATTTGCTCTGTTTTCTTGGTGCTCTGTGTTGTAATTTATTTTTTTATGTGCAGCAGTCTCCTCTTAACTTCAGTGCTTATGGGGAAATATGGTTCAACCTTTTTATTTTTTCTGTTGCAGGGATAATATTCTACCAGGAATTTGAAGGCTTGGCGTTACTGAATATTTTCATGTTCTTATTCGGGTAAGTTCTGCAAACATCACTAATCATTGGGTCTTAAACGACGCCACCAAACGCTGGTGCTCATCCTCCCTGAAACTCTCCTCCAGCTGTCTTCTCTCCTTTGTCGGGGTTTTCCTGATAGCCCGAAACAGACCAAAGATAAAGCAACAAGACCGCACTTTCATCCCCATGGATAGGATTCCTGGTAAGTTATTTTTTTTAATAAATCATTGTATTGCCTAACAGGCCAGACAGAACCTGGATGAGTTTAGCAGCAGTGACCCTGGCTACGGGGTCCCCATCTAATGAGCTGCGCCGTCCATGTTCACAGGGAGGAGGAGCACAGACAAAGTGCAGCCCGAGGCAAAGAGCCAAACATACGGATCGCTGGCAGCCAAACTTATGTGCAACAGAGCCGACCAAACAGACGATTCATAGGAACCATCTCCATCTGTCGGGACTGCTGCTGTACTCCATTAGAGAGTCTGTGTGCAGCTTTTCCAGGGTTCAACCAAATCTGTTATTAAAAGCAGCAAAGAGAAGGAGTTAGTCCTTAAAAAGAAGTTTGTCTGCCTTAAAATGTGTTCCCTTATTGTCTTCTGGCTGCATTGAGATAAAAAAGTGATGCATTTCTCTCAGTTCAACAGATTTTTGTCAGGTAAATAAACTAAACAGTTTTCTGTGGACAGGTGCTAAATATGTTTTATTAGTCTGAGGTTATGGTATACATCAAAATAAGTGCACTACTGCCCCCTAAAGGTGGGAAAATGAATCCTGACTTCCCCCCTTTACTGTTCAACCTCAATCATCTGATGTAAATTTACCCAATTATTAAAAAAGGAAAAGTCAGCACCAAAGCATTGTTTTTTTTCCTTCCTGTCTAGTGTACTGTAAATACTCTGCCATGTGTTTAAATTCACCAGTATGCCATACTGAGGTCCGTCTCCCACTTCTTTTCATAACTGCTGCTTGAAGCACAAGCGTGCCGCTTCCTCGCCCATCTTCACCTCGGATAAACCTCACACTGCACGCTTGGCTTAACTGCTACCAAACTGTGGTGTTGCCAAGCAACAAAAACTCTTATCTGCCACCTACACATCATGGGATATGTGGGAAACCACAGTTCATGCTAGAGGAACTATAAGAAGATTCAAAGTTGAAGTGTCTGTAGTTGGATGCATGTGGAGAGCTTTGCAGGAGTGTCGGCAGGAGAGAAGGTAAAAGGCTGAATGTTAAACAAAAGTCATTTCTCGGTTCAGCAACTTTTGAGCAAAATTAATTACATCTTGCTGCAAATTCTCCCTTTAATCAAGGTCTAGACCCTGATAGGGCCCCTCTATCCATATAATTGTGCAGCTCTGCCTGTGTCCCAGGGTTAATATTTCTTTCTAGACCTGGTGGTGAAAATGCATCGACTGGAGCGACTATATAGAGGCGCGTTCAGGGGGGATGTGTTGTAAAAAGGTGTGACAGGTACGTTTTTAGTGATGCTCCAGGCATGGTTATGACAACGCATTGAAGTTGGAAAATCTGAACTTTTGTGTTTTGTCACAACAACCAATCAGGGACTTGATGTGGCGTCAGGAGGAAGGAGCAGGGTGGAGACAAATGATAGAAAAAATAATATTGACCGGATGATGTAAGGAATGTTCAGTTTTCACCACAGAGACGCAATCACATGTAGGTTGCAGAGTCGCTTCGGACCTTCCACAGCAGCTCTTCATTTCAGAACCAGTTAACGTTTTAGTAAATATTGAAGATTTTAAGCATTTTGACTTTTTTTAACTGAATAACTGCTTTGAGTTTGTGGATGAGAATGACCTTGAGGGGTACCGGTAATGAATTTTAATCAGCATCCATTGATTGCTAACATCCAAGTTTGACCTTCAGTTTTTATCAAGATTTTGTTTTGAAAAAAGATGGAAAATATGAAACAATACGTGTTTTAACTGCATGAGATAGAAGCCTTTGCAGAGGTAGATAACATTATTGGATAAGATCACTTTCACTATGCATCTACAGATAAGAGGTCTAGAAATCAAGAAAATAGATACGACCAATCAATCTGTGCAATCCTAATGTTCTGTTTTTTTGTAAACCTAAAAAAATAAGATGGTGGATCGTTAAAAATAAAGACATTTTGTTGAGTATATTTATGAAAAATGTCTAACCAAAAACTCACATTTACAGTTCAAAGGATGTTTTATTTAGCTTTACTGAGGCTGCAGACCCGTCATAGTGAAACGTCATGGCTACAAGTATCTCATCAAAAATACATCCAGAGAACATGTAGAGTGGTGCAGAATAAAATCCCTGCATAAAATATGATTGTTTTAATACATTTTGACGGGTCCAAAATACATAAATATTTCCTCCTGGTTACAATGAAAACAAGAAAAGATTCTGCACCAAAAGGAATAGTAGGTTGGAGTCGTGTCAGATGGAGCATGGAGTTATCAGATCCTGGTGGAGCACAGGAGGGGCTTCAACTCTGTTACATTTCTCAGATTAAACCAAAAAAAGGATGAAGTTTTTAAGATTTGGTACATTTCCCTTTCATCCAACCAGAGCAGCTTCTGCTGCACATCTTCACACAATTTTTCTTTTTGTGTAACATTTAGAAGTCCTGATGCTTTCCTTGTTAAAATGTTTAATAGTTTAGTAACTTTATGAGATTGTTTCCTTTATTCACTTGTTATTCTAACAAAAAGCTCTTCACTGCATTTGTGTATCTTCAAGTAAAAAAATAAAACTCAATATTGCAGTAATAAGAGCAAAAAGGATAACATTCCTTCTCAATGAGATGAAAGTTACTGAAACATGCCAAGAAAATCATAAAAATAAATCTTCACAAGCAAGCATTTCCAATTAGTGGAAATTAACGGTGCTAACTTAAAGATTGGACCCTTCGATGGGGTGCTTTCAATCTTCAGCCAGAGGCACAGGGATTATGACGGGTTATTTTCAGTTTTTTTTTATCCAATTCTGTGTAGGTCCCGTTGAAAGTCACACGTCGATGTTGAGTTTAACCCAGCGGTAGTGCAGGGAGGAGGGGTTACGCAGCAGCAGCTTCCCTCGGTGCTCCACCGGCTGCTTCAGGAGCGTATCGAGTAGCCCTGAAACGCTGACGAACCCCAGAGCCTCCCCACAGCCCACAGACAGAGAGAAGTCCCCCTGAGTGACCCAGCCCAGCGTCACCCGGGAGCAGTGAGACGTGACGCTGGGCAGCGGGTCGGGCCAAACCCCCAAGACCAGGTCAGAGGAAGAGTGCGGGTCTTTGGATGGGTTTGGGAGTGACGCAGGGGTTATGTCTGATACTTCACGCACATCAGAGGGGGGAAGCGATGTAGCAGCTTCCTTTGAGCTCTTCTTCTTGCTCTTAATCCTGCATTTAATGTGGTCTTTATGAGGGGGCTCCTGGGGGCCGCTGCTCGATTGTTTTTTTCCAAACAGCTTCAGGTCCTCCGCAGTCGGAGCGCAGACCATGGCGTGGGGTTCTGGTTTCCCTTTGGACAGCAGCGTCAGGCGCACCCACACCAGACTCATTCTGTGGGCGGAGCGGAACGACGTCACGGCCGCGGGGGTGAGAGGCGGCGCCTCCGCAGCCCCGCGGCACGGCCTCTGTCCCTTCGACGTCGTGGGTCTGCACCAGCCAGAGAGAAGCCTCAGGGACCTCCTGTTCCTGGAAAACCACAAAATAAGCAGAATCTATTTAGAACACCAACAGGTGGGTAATATTCTGGGTCAGGTTCACTGGGCTCATCATCAGGTGCCCTGAGATCGATCCACATTTTATAATTTATGAGGCAGAAAACAAAAAATATGCAGCCGATGGTAAAAAACTGCCTGATTTATCCTCACAAAGTCGCTGACATTACTCACAGTTTATGAGCTGCTTTAATGAGGATTAATGATCCGCTTTCCATCTATTAATCCCTGTGAGCTATGGCAGCAATTTAAGGCTGGATGCGTTTTCTCATCTCCAATAAGATGATGAAAGCCAGGCAGACGGGGGAAGCAGCATGCATCAAGCCTGTCAAAACCTGACAGGCTTGATGCATATAACTAAACTTATAACTAAAATAAAAAATCCCTCAAGTTGGAGGCTCCAAAAACACAGAACCTTTATATTTATGTTTTTAAACCCTTTGAACTATTTCTGATTTCTCATGTTTCAAATAAAATATTTTCTGCTTGTCTGCTAACAATGATGAGGAATTAAAGACTTAATCTGATTTAGCTCTGGGCTTTAAAGATAAAGTCAGGATATATGAAAAAAGATCCAGCTGATTATGAACAAATACTTTTACCGGTATATACTGTAAAGTTCTGACCTGATATCGTTTTATTGTCCTTTTTGAGCCTAAACAGAACCTCAGCATCGGCAGAGATTGCAAAAGTACTCACTTTCCGTACTTGAGTAAAAGTGTTAAAAAATACTCTGTTAAAAGTGGAATTACTGATTAAACTTCTTTACTCAAGTAAAAGTAACAAAGTACAGGCTTGTAAATTTACTTAAAGTATAAAAGTAAAAGTAGAAACCACTTTTTTCATGCCGTTGCCTACATTTTAAATGGATGTCTGCCAAATAGGACTAGATCTCCGTTGTGTTCATTTTCAATCATCTCGTCATCCATACTGCTAACGCTACCGCCACCAAGCTGCAATGATTTGCCGCAAATGAATACCGCCGAATCTGTCGATTCATCTTGTAGTGGTGCGTCAAATGCAACGTAGATTCCCATCCAATTAGATTGAATTTGGTATTGATGACGTGAAAAATAATAACGGTAACTCCATTGAAATGATTCAAAACTAAAGTAACGAGCCAATTTTTTAAAATGTAAGGAGTAGAAAGTACAGATATTTGTGTAAAAATGTGAGTAGAAGTAAAAAGTCGCCATAAAAATAAGTAGTAAAGTAAAGTAAAAATATCAGAAAAATCTACTTGCATTTGTACTTCGTTACTTCCCATCTCTGAGCATCGGAGATGATGAGCTACATAAACGGACATGGCGCCATCTACAGGCAGTACCACTCAACTACCAGGAAGCCAGATGGCCATTAATGCAGCTACTAAATAAGTCCCGACTGGGCCCACTGTGCTGCGACGCCTCTATTACATCATTCTATCTCTATTCTCCTACTCTGCAGAATCTGTTAGTTCAATCTCTAACGTTCTGCTCTCTCTGCTTTTTCTCATAGTAGCTTCATCTGATCTGTTCCTGTTTGGCTGTGACTCCATCCTGGAGAGAAATATCAGCTGTACTGCTGCCATCAACACATTTGCTTATAGATGTTGGAGATCTGCCTGTTTTTCAGTGTAGTCCTGTTTCTCTGACTGTGACTAACTGGATGTGCTCTCTTCATCCTCTAACATGGGAGCTGGCTCGGAGCTCGTCTGCCTGGCTGTGTGTTTCCTGGACGGGGTCGCCTTTTACAGCTGCTTTTTGTGTCTCTGCTTCTGTCTCCTTGAACCCCAGTCGGCCTCAGCAGATGGCCGCTCACACTGAGTCTGGTTCTGCTGGAGGTTTCTTCCTGTTAAAAGGGAGTTTTTCCTCTCCACTGTCGCTACAAGCATGCTTAGTGTGACGGATTGCCATTGAGTCAATGAGTTGAATTGAATTGTTTGTTTCCTTCCTAATTTCACTGTTCTCCGTTACTTTGTGTCTGTGTGTCATATGAATCCCAACAAAAAGAGATGCGTGGAAGTTTATGTTAGAACAAACAGAATTACCTCAGAATGTTGAAGCAGCTCGGACGATAAGTTGGAGCTGTATTTTGCTGTGATGCCACTTCTTCTGTCACAACCTCGGTTTTTGCTGCACTTTGCTCATCTCCTTTCCCCTCTGCTCCTTCTTCCCTCATCAGCAGCTCCCACTCCTCTGCCAGCTGTTGCCAACGGCAACGAAAAGGAGCCAGGCAGCCATGTTTAATGTAATTGGCCCTCTTGGCTGGCGGACGCCTTTGGGGGTGAAATAGGTTAAAAGCTCATGTCAAACTGTGAGGAATCCCCTCCCAGGTTGGGTTAAACGTCATTACTGTTGATTGCATCTCAGCAATTTCTGCATCTCAGCGACTAGAGAGAGATCTGCTCCATGTAGATAACCTGGATCAGAGCTTTAACCCGTTTTACATCTTTATAAAGATGCTGACATAAAGTTATTTACAGCAGCACATACAGAAAGTTTTCAGTGCTGCACTTTTTGCTCCATCAGCTTCATTCCAAATGGCTTTTAATTTATCTCTTCCCTCTAAATCGTTCAGAAAAAAACCCATTATGTGCATTTGAAAAAAACATTTTTTTGCCAATTTTATAAAAAGAAAAACAACAAGCTTATTTAACTTTGTTGATCCACCTTTGGCAGCAAATCAGGCCTCTTTAATCTGATTCTGCAAACTGAGCTCTCCTGTCTTTAGATGGTTTGACCCAATCTTTTCATTTGCAGCATCAGGTCAGATTTTAGACATCTGAGCAGCCATTTTTTTTTTTAAATCTCTCCAGATGTGTGATTGACTCAGGCTTAGTCACTCCAGGTCATTCTGAGTGGTTCTGATCCAGTCCTTTAAGATTTGTGCATTAGTTTTGTTTGAATTAAAATAGACTAAACCAGATACTTCAGAGCCATCTGTGGAGAGTTTGACCACCTACTCCAAGAGCTGCAGGCTAATGAGGGTCGATTCCAGAGCTATTTCTGTCTCACCTGAGCCCAGTTTGACAAACTGCCACCCTGCATCGGTCCCCAGATATCCTAACAGTCCTGATGTGCTTCAACCATAGACTTTGAACATAAACTGGCTGCTTCTGCTGCTCAAAATGTGCTTTGATGTGACCAAAGTATTACAGCTGCTGAACTTATTTAGTGGCCTGAATTTCAGCATAGCTGAAAATACGCTGGCGAGGACCCTGACATGATTCCTGATATTCAGAGTGTTTTGTTTTTCGCTGTCTTAGCCCAGATGCAGGCTCCTTTTCTCTCCACAGAGGAATTCTAGATCTCTGACCAAGATACTCTTCTTCTCGTATCGCACCAGGAAGCTACCTGATGGTTTTAATCCAGGTCTCTGTCTGAGGATAATCCTCTCTGAGGTCTACAGATAATTCCTTGCACTTCATGCTTGGAGATTGAGCTCCAACATCCTCCGTTACCTGTTGGACCTTATATAATGTTTTTTTTTCCAGACTAAGCAGCTATTTTTTTCCCTACACTTTTAACTATGCAGCTTTTATGAAGGTGCGGCTTTTCTGTGGATTTTTCTTCAACAGCTGGGAAGTGGAAGTCAAAGAAGATGGTGCTAATTTCCCTTTAGCACATGCTAGTAGCAGTGACAGCGAACAAATGTCCCAAATTCATACATTTGGACGTTTATTTGCTGCATTAAAGCTGTCCAACCAATGGCAAGTCTGTTTACAGCTCCATCTCTCATTAAAAGCTCTTACTGTCATGAGCCCACAAGCTTACAGCAGCTAGCTTACTTTTTAATCACAACTTTAGGGGTGATATCTAGAGCTCCCCCTACAGGTTCGTTGGGGCGGCTTAAATATGTATGTTTCCAGTAAAAAAAAAAAAAAACAACAAAAACCTGTGATTGCGCTCTATAGTCCAGATAATATGGTAGACAGGTGTGTTTCTTTCCTAATCGTGTCCAATCATGAATTTACCTCCGATGTTTCTCCACTAAAGCTATAGAAACATCTCAGTAATGATCGGTGGACACAGCTTTACATTGGATGTAAATATTTAGTTACATAAAAGTTCTTAGTTTTCTATTTGAAGGATCTTAAAAACCTCTCATGTTGTCGTAAAAGGACAGTATTTGGAAAAGTTTTAACAGAGTTTTAATCAGTAAATGTGGAAAAGGTGCAGCACTGAATAGTTTTTGTTTTACTGATTTTAGATACCGTATTTTCACGACTATAAGGCGCACATAAACGTCTTTTTTTTCCCTCAAAATGTGCGGTGCGCCCTTTGGTGCGGTGCGCCTTATGTGTGTTGCAACTGCGACTTTTGAGACCACCTCATTGAGGAGATGATGAAAGAGTGGCTGAGGGAGGTGAATGTAAGGAGACCAGGTGTTTTTTTTCCCACTCATCACCACACCATCGCTGTTAATCTGACTCCATGCGTGCCCATCTCACAGCTGATTTGAAAAACATGGTGAAACAAATTAATGCTGTGCTCGCTGTGAACCGGACGCAGCAGGTGCAGCAGAAGCAGCGAGTTTACATGCAAAGTCAACGGTTGACGAGCGTATAAACGCAGCAAAAGGTCCCGCAGCGCGTTTTGAGCAGCAGGCGCTGCGCGTCGGGAGCAAGCCGCCAACGCGCTGCTGCTGCTCGAGATGGAAAAATTGAAGTTTTGCTGCTGGACGCGCCGCATCAACGAATCAGAGAAGCTGATCTGGGAGCTGGCAGCGAGACAGACACAGCGCTCTGATGACATATGATATTAAAGCAAATGAAAGGGCTGGCAGGTGTTTTTTCATCTAAATAATCTAAATCTTGCAGCTACATTTGCTGCTATCAGTGGGAATAAAGTAGTTTTAATATGTTTTTAAGTGAGAAAGTCCACCTGAAAACTTAATAATTGCAGTCAGTTCATCCAGATTATCTATTTCTGTCGGAGGCGCTCAGACCCCCACATACCAGCGGTACACCGACAGTAGAAATCCATTCAACAGCAGCCTCTAGGCCGGGCAGCCTCCGGGTTCACCTCGGTGGCTGGCAGGTGTTTTTCATCTAAATAATTTAAACTGCAGGCACCAGGATACCGGTAATAAAAGCGAACATATTCTGTCGGCAGGTTTCAGGATTTTAAGTTAATTTAGGAGTGACCACAGCGCTGTGTCATCTGCGATGTGTCTGTCTCACGGCCAGCTGCCAGGTTTGATTAATAGTTTGTAATAAATACATGAATAAAGCACAGTCATACTCAGTTTTGCCCCTGCTGTATTTTTAAATACGCAGTAGAGGTATTTAAACGTAGTAGAGGACTTGTACCTGTATATAAAAAACGCGCCCTATAGTCCGGTGCGCCTTATGTGTGTTAACAGGGCCGGCGATTGCTATAGGCGAGCTAGGCAATTGCCTAGGGCGACAAATGTGTTGGGGGCGCCCTCTAGCGTCGCCCTTAGGCTTACTTCCCATTAATCATAGAATTAGAAAAAAAAGCGAATTAAACCGGTTATGAAGCGTCCGTCAGTTTGACTTAACCTTACGTATATATAAATAGCAAAATATGAACAAATAAATATACCACCGTTTTTTTATTTATTTTTTCACATTTAAGAGAAAATCGGAAAAGATTCTGATCACTTTTCAAGCGCCCTCCAACCCGGAAGTCGTGACGTCAATCACTGCAGCATGTACACCAACATTTTGGAATGAAATTGTAAGCAAACAGATATTAAAAGTAAAACAAGTGAAGTCTGGCACTTAACTCTGCTCGCGACTCGAGAATGGCTGAACGGAAAAGACTCCTCCTCCTCCTCCTCCTCCTGCCGCCGCAGTCGGGCCCGTCTTAATCATCCACTCAGAGTACCACTGGTAAGCGGACACAGACTTTGTAGCTTGTCCGGTCAGTTAAAAATATTAATTGTGAAATCCGTGTTGTAATCAGAAGCATACAAGCTAGTTAGCTTGAAAAGTAAATAAAGTTTCAGACGTCATGCGTGATGATGTGTTCAGATTGGCTCAGTAAAACGACAATTAGGTTATCATGATGCGTTCAAGTGTAACGTAAAGAAAACGGGAAATTTTGTTTTTGGCGAGAAACATGAGTAATACAGTTGTATATTGCTCTATATATAATTAAACTACTGATGCCAACATTTATTAAAAATTACATTTAATTTAAAATACAATTATTTATTTGTTAAATATTTTCCTAATCACTAAAAACATGATGAAAAGTGACAGTAGACAATACATTAACCAACAATTGTGAAAATATATTCTAGTTAGTTTTATGTCATTTCGAAGTGGCCTATTACATTAGCCATGTTTATTGAAGGCTAGAAACGTTTTTGTTATGCTCACTTGTTAAGCAATAGAAGCAATACCAGTTCTGTTAAAAAAAATTTTTGCATCGTCTTTCCACCAAAAAACAGAAATGTATCGATAGTGGTATCGATAAAGACTCGGATCGATAAGGAGTATCGATAAAGGTATCGATATCAATAAATATTAACGATCCCCATCCCTAATGTTGACATCATTTTTTTCTCAGTATATATGCAGCAGAATTATGTGCTATATTATTAGCTTGAGAATGGGTAGAAGATACTAATATAAATAAAATATTTTGTAGTGATTATCTGCATTGAGTATTCAAAAGGGATGTACAAATAATCATCAAAATATATGAAGTTATGGCTGTTCATCATAGAATATGTGAACAAAAAAAAAACAACAACTTCAAACTTTTAATTTTGTAATGGTATTCATAAAAGCACTTTTGTTTGTAGAGGGTTAATCCTTTCTTTAATCACTAATCAATGTCAGAAATCAGGGTAAATATACCTGATATATTTTATATAGAGGAAAATTTTGTTTATCTCATTTCTATTTATGTTCAAATGATTTAATTGAACTGGAACAGAAAATTTAATTTAATGTTTATCAATTACTTTTTTATGTAGTCCTTGGTTGAAGAATTTCTTAAATTCATTATTTTTTATTGTTATTTGGTAATTTCTGAAATTGATTTATTTAATATTTGTTTAATGTGTGTTAAATTTGTTAATTGTCTGAAATAAATTCATTCAATGATTCAATCCAGTTTTTTAGTTATACTTTACCTAAGTGTCCTTACAGATGGTTAAAAGTGTTTTTGCACAGTCCTAACTTTGAGTGTGTAATAAATTATTTAAAATAATAAAAAAGAAAAGGTACTGAAACCTATTCTGGTATTTGTCTATGCATCACTCCATGCTAAGTTAACAGTTTTTTCTGAATGCTTAAACACAACCTTGATTCTTATAGCACAATTTCTAAAACTATTAATACTTATAGCAAATCCACTCACTGAGTTCACAAAACTAAAAGAACAAACACTGCTTTGCAATTATGTAACACACACTTTGCACAACTGTAGGCACAATTCACCGCACGGGGGGGGGGGGGGGGGGGGGGGGGGGGGGGGGGGGGGGGTTGGGGGTGCAAAACTAAATCTCGCCTAGGGCAACCAAAGGGCTAGAACCGGCCCTGTGTGTTAAATACATAAATGGCACACATAACTGAGACTGGGCCTTTTAGTACGGTGCGCACTATGGTCGTGAAAATACGGTACAAACAATAGAGTAGGCTTGTCCCGATCCGATACGTGGATCGGGGATATTGGCAAAAAAATGCGTATCGGCATAGCATGTAAAATGCCGATCCAGACTGCCGATCCAGTTTTAAAAAAAAACTCCGGTCCGTATTTTCCAGTTTCGCCGATTCAAAACGATCCATTCCACTATTTTGCGCCAGTGTTCCCCTGTTTTGCATTTTTATTAAAACTTACAGTAATACTTGCACCTTGAACTGTTTACGGTTTTACTGCTCACTGTGCAATTTCAGATTGCTATTCATAATTTTGTCCAGTTTGTGTTTATCTCTTAATAAACAGGTAAGTTTGTTGTTACCAAGCATTGTGTTTCATTCAATCTCACCTTATTTAGCTGGCTAGATGTTATCAAGAGTACTAAAACCCTTTTCAACATGAGTCTTACAACTAAGGCTAAATACTTTAACTTAAACTTAAATACATGCTCGGATAGGCTGGTATCGGCCAGTATCGGTATCGGATCGGAAGTCCAAAAACAATATCGGTATCGGATCGGAAGTGCAAAAACCTGGATCGGGACATCTCTACTCTAGAGACTTACTAAAATATTCTAATTTAGTTATTTTCTGTTGGACATCATTAAAAAGACAAAGACAAGATCAAGGCAAGGAAACGACGGAATATCTTTACAGTTTTTACTATTGTTTATGTCAGATTAATATTGAAACCTCAATAAAACCTCACAGAACAAGATCTCCCTAAAAACCACAGTAGTATATAAGGACATTAAGGATTCAGTTTTAGGCTAACCTTTTAAATCTGTCCAGCAGCTCGGCCTCCTGCTCCTCCTGGAAGCGGGCTCCTGCAGGGCAGTCTGGATAGTCATGGGGAAAATGGGGAGCAGCTTTGTTTTGAGAGTGTTTCAGAGTCATGTGCAGCCCGGCTACACGGACCCCTCTGTAGACCTGGAGGGAACAAGAGAGTCAGAAAACAAAAGGATTGAGGTAACATTTAACAAATACAGCCTTCCTAAAGCCCACATGGCAAATTAAAGACTAATTGTTACTATTCCTCTAACAGATGGTCTGCCGTGACCACAGCCATCTTTTACAGCTTCCTCAACTTTTTTTTTTTCAGAACCTGACTCAGCAGTATTAACACCCTCAACATGACGTCCTTTTGTTTTTACTGTGAAATCACCAGTTGATCAGACTGATTCAATTCAAAATCAAACACATGGAAGTTTTTCCTTCACAGTTTTTGTTTCTATCAATATTTAAAGGTATAGTGGAGGATTTTATTTTTCCGGGTGGATCTTCTAAATAAGTGTTCCTCCTAATTGTCAATCATTCTGGTGATATGTTTGCGTGCTCGTCCTCGGTTGGTTGTCTTTTTCAGACTCTTTGTGGTGAGCTACGGTTTCAGACAGTCATTGACGCTCACCTTTCTCAGCATGGTGCTTTGAAAAGATAGATCATTTTGGTTTGATTTGGTCTGCAGAGAAAATGCTCTCAGCTACTTGGCTTGGTTTCATGCTACCTACCAGAGGGATCCAGAAGGCCATCCCCCAACCTTTAGGGAGGAGCAGGTCCCATCCAGCCCCCCAGGAGTTCAGCTCATCTCCCACCTGCTTGCCCGGCTGATGAACCAGTAAGATGGGGACTCTGCCCTGTGGGGGGGTGGGGCTCAGCCTGGACCCTGGTACCAGTAGTTCACTCCTCATACGGTTCAGCTCCTTTCACCAGCAAACAGAAAAAACAGCCAGGTGAGGAAAGCTTAAAAAAAGCAGCTAAGACTCATGAGGCAGCATGAAAGCAGAGAGGAAGCAGGATGACGCACCTTCTCAGATATCTTGTTGTCGGTGACGTTGTCGCGGACAGACCGCTCCCACAGCAAACTATCCCAGCAGGCCTGTGGGACTCCTCGCAGCTTCAGCTCGCTCCTCTTCTCCTCATCGGCTTCTGAAGAAACACACACAGCGTGGTCCTGTGAAGAAAGCTTCACTAGAATCAGGAAAGGTTCTAGATGGATCGCAACAGAACGCAGATCCAAACCCCAGAAACAGTGAAAATGCTCAACAGTCTCATTTTACTCATAACTACCAATCAGCCAATCAGCTGCAGGCATGGGGTTTTTCACTGTAACATATCTAATTAATACCAGAGAATAAAAAAATGTTTTCCAGTTAAAAAAACCAATGCACCAAAAAAGCAGAGCGCCTAAATAGTATCTAAGCTTCTGCCAGAGATAAACCTTCACCTTTCAACCACTGTAAAAGGAAAAAAAAAGATTTTTTTAATAAGAAAATACTTGTTCCTACACTTTAACATCAGCTTCAACAAAGTTTCAAGGACTTTTCTGGGCCAATTTCCTCAAATTGATAATAAACAAATATGTAATTATAAATGAAATAGTTCAATTTTATCTAAAAAAAATATATATATTTAATTTATTTATTTTATAACAAATAAAAAGTGAAATAGTGGTATGTATTTTTAGGGGCCACCTATGGCCCTGTTACAGGCTGAAATGTTTGGAAACTCCAGCTTTAAATCACTTTTTTTTTCTATAAGAATTGTTTTGGGGTTTGTTTTTCAGAATTTTTTTACATTTATGGGATCCTGCTGCCTAATCAACAGTTTCTAAAGGTCTTCATTAAGAAGACCTGGGCTGTTTCTCAGTATGTGTGCGTTCTCATGCACTCATTTACTCGTGAAACGTCATCAGCCTCAGCCATAGCACTGATCCAATTCACAAGAACAGCAGACCGAGAACGGACAAAGTCCCCAGATGTTGTTCTCGCCCCTCCCCCTTTACCCAGCATGCGTCAGAGCAGACTTGTCCGTTCTTGAGATGGACAGCTGTCCCAGCATGCACTGCAGCAGCAGCTTCCAGGTTAGTGCTCACAGAGCTCAGAGTATAAAGTTAAAAGTTCTCTTTTCTGTTGCTGTTGTTCAACAATAGTTTTAATATCATTTGAGGCGAGAATATTATACTTTTAAGCTTCACTATATGGTCCATTGACTGATTTAATGCGTGATTAAAAAAATAGTTTCCTAAGTTGAGAGTACTGCAGCAAACAGTGGAGCTCCAAGGGTAACAGCAGCCAGGTCTAACGTTAGCCCGTCTGCAGCAGCCCTCTCTCTGCATAGCCGTGTGTGAAGGACAGCTGGCTCTGATGGTGATTTTTTTGTTTTATTTGGCAAAATTTTAATTTGTGTTTATCTGACTGTGTTCATTATTATTCCCTTAATAAATGAAAAAAGTAATAATTTATTATTATCTAGAGACCATTAATAACAGGAAGTGAAATGCAGTTCCAAACGAGCTGAGCGTGTGGTGATGTCATCAGTACTCTTCTGTTCCAATAGATCCATATTTATGCTTCGTTCTTCTCATGAACATAGGTGGGGAGGATACGGTCCGTACTTGCGTTCTTGTGAATTGAGAAACGGTGTTGTTTAGAAGCACTTTTCCAGTATAACGACTTCCTGTCTTCATTACTGTGGGAACGCTTATTTCAAACTATTTGCTAGAACTGAAGATGCCTGAAACAGGTTTATCCAAAGTGCTGATTTTTTCAGGTCTGAGGTTCTTAGGTGCCGAGTTATATTAGGTTTCATTGTTTTCCCGCCTGTGTCGGTCTCATCAGGTCTTAAAGGGTTTTATTAAAAGAGCAATAAGTATGCAGACTGATTTCACTTTAAAATCACTACAGGTTTGCTGCTGGTGTTGATTTTACCAAATCCCACAGATGAGCTTTAAAGTCCACAGAATCGGGAAATGAGGGGCTGTCAATCAGCGAGGTTCTGCTTGGAGTACAGGGTTCTGCCAGGATTCGAACCTGGAACATCTGCATGGCGCGGCAGAGGCCCCCCCGGAGCACAGAACCATAGGCGTACTCGCCGCAGCAACCTCGAGACTGAAGCCAGGGCCAGTTCGTTTATTATGATCTGTTTGGATTGACATGCTGCACACGGTTCTCAGAGCAGAAAGAGCTGCATCGTCCTCCAGAAGGTCAGAGTTTACCTTGGGACTGGTTCACACTGGGCACAGCTTTAACCTTCCTTTTAGGTAAAGTCAGGCGGGGGTCATCCACGGTCAAGCCCAGCACCGTTCCTGGGGGGAGTTCTCCAGTTGAACAGACACCTGGAGGATTAAACCAACAAGAACAAGCAGTAATCTACCAGGTAAAATGAGTACAGAAGAGGATTAGGGCCACTGACTGACTTCAGATCTGACTTCAACCTCAGAATTCTGACTTTAATCTAAAAATTCTAAATTTAATCTCAAAGTTCTAACTTTAATCTCAGAATTCTTACTGAATTCTGAGATTAAAGTCAGAATTCTGACTTTTTTCTCAAATCATACAGAAATAAAATTTAAAAATCTGTTAACTTTTTGCTATTTTTTTTAGTGGCCCTAAACCTCTTCCGTAAATGAGCATAAATGGAGAAAAAACATAAAAATAAAATGAACCAACCTTTCAATAGATTAAAGACATCAGTTTGTTGCTGAAGGAGATCCATGTTGCTCTGATCTTTGCAATGCTGAGGCCACCAGAGTAAATGCTCCTGTTCCTGAAGCAGGAAACGAAATCTCAATTCCCTCGGTTTCCCAGGGTGAGAAACCAGCTCAGACGCTGCTGAAGCTCATCTCACCTTCATGCTTCCATCGCAGACTGTAGCTGCCTCCAAAGTCTCTGCCAGCACAGAATGAGACTGCGGTCCAATCAGACGATATCGTAGGATCTCCATTGTGAGATCGCTGAAAACAGATAAAAACTAAACATCAGTAACACCATGGTTAGTTTAATGGATCCCAGCTTTTATTGTCAAACACTGAACTGACTTTATGACTATTCCAGTGGAGCTGGACTTCCAGGTAACCGGGGTGCTGGGCAGTCTGGTTCCATCTCCTACAATCTTCTTTGGAGGCGGTTCACCAGCATCCTTGTTGCTCCTCTTTCTCTTGGCTCCAGGTTTCCCTTTGTTTCCAGGTTTCCGTTCTTCCACTGTTACGTGATCCGCCTCTGGATTCGAGACCTCTGGTTCAACTGGGGGCGCCACGGCCTCCGAACACCGGCACACGCTTTGCAGCTCAGGGAGAAGGTCCTAGGATGCAGGACAGATCTGGTTCCAATTTCCTCTAAACGGACTCATTCACACCGTGGAGACCAGGCATACCTGCTTCAGAGTGGGGTGAGCCCAGATCCACAGCTGCCTGTGGGTTTCCCCTGGTGTTCTGGGTCTCCACAGGTAGGAAACAGGTCCCAGGGGCTGGGAAGGGTACTGGCCCGCCCTGTACACTGTGACACTACCCTGTCTGCCCCCAGAGAGGCTCACAGCTGCAGCAAATGTGGGACCTAGAAAGAAAGACGCCACAACAGGATCTAAACATAAATCTTGACTCTATAGGAATAAATAGTATGGTAGTTTTCAGGAGCGATGGGATCTTACCGGCTTCCTTACACGTCAGCTGAGACAGAGCAGCCAGCAGCTTGTCTTCTTCCCCCTTTAACTCTATGCAGCAGTAATAAGAAAGATCCTGAATAGACAAAAAAAACAGAGATTACTGATGAAATCCTTTCAGTAACCCAAAATATCCCTTTTGTCGCCATGGTTACCTGTAGGAGGCAGTGGCTGCTCATTGCTCTGTAGCACGGCCGGTAGCATTTGTCCGTGGGTCTCTCCCCGAGGCAGTAGCCCCACTTTTTAACCATGTGGAAGCGCTTGGCGTGCCAAATGTGCGTCTCCAGCCAAATGTTCTTCCTCTGGCGCCGATTGAACTCCAGCAGCAGGTTGCCATGGCGCCGGCGGGCTTTGCGGCTTTTGCCCTTCGCAGGCTCCTTCTTCTTCTTAGGGCCGGCCTGGAGGCTCTTCTCCCTCTGCAGGAGCGAGTGAAAAGTGAGGGGCGTTCAGATTCCTAACCGCTTAACAGTAAAACAGGCCTCAAGAGTTACCATCCTGTTGGCGAGGTCTCTCAGCCTGCGAGGGAGACGCTTGGTGTTGTGGCTCATGGCTCTTCGCCTCATGTGTCTGGGAAGAGACGCAAACACCTGGCTGCTACCCGTCGTCTTGGTGACGGCTTTCAGCATGGCGTTCACCTCTGCAGCTCTGGCCCGGGCGAAGGCTCCACCTGAACCAGGAGGAAGGAGGGCAAACCGGCTAAACATCCAGCTGATGATGAATGAGGCTCAACTTCCACAACCAAACTTTATATTGGAAAAGATCCAGTTAAAAAAAAAAAATAGAGCAAGACATCCATAAATAAATACATAATGAAGAGGAAGTTTCATTTTTCATTAAAGCACAAAAAAACAAATCTTTTAAATAATCAGCTCAATAGCACAAGACAGTGACAGTTTCCATTGATATGTCGTCGCTATGTTTACCTGTGATGTACTTGGGCATCTCCCTGGCGTATCCACCGCCATCTTTCTGATGTCCACGAACCCATCCGCTCCGGTCAGAGGGGGTCCTCTGCCTCTTTGAGGAAGGAAGCGCATCCGACTGACCTCCTTCTGCAAAAACACAAAGCTAGTAAATTAAAGCAACATTGGCTTCAGTGGTTTGGACCTAGCTTTGCCATAATGTCTGAATACATGTACATGCTATACATCAGCTAGCTGATACTTTAAGCCAGCAATTTGACTTTTTTCTTTATCTTATTAAATTCAATTCAGTTTATTTCTATAGCGCCAATTCACAACACACATCATCTCAAGAAACTTTAAAGTCCACCAGATCATCCAGTCAAATTGATTCAGAGTTTTCTATGTAAGGAAAACCAGTTGATTGCATCGACTCATTGACTCAAAAGCAATCCCTCACACTAGGGATGGGTCAAGTAACACCCATAGATCTAAACACTATCGGTGTGCGTGTCATTTCCAGAAAGTCATGTGACCCTAATTGACTCAGTAATCTAATTGACTGACTCACTGAACCGTGCTTAAAAACGTATCTGTCGACCAAAGAAAGATGGGAAAGCGAAATGAATATAGATATACAGCAAGACAAATGGGAAGAAATATGTACTGAAGCGCATCAAGTCACTAACTCTAATACATGGCGAGCATTTAGGTGGAAGATAATGAGACGTTTCTTCAGGACACCAGCGGTCATATGTAAAATGGGGTCCATACACTTAGATAAATGCTGGAGAAGTTGTGGGTCACACATTGGCAACCATACTCATATATTCTGGACATGTCCTAAACTGAGAAAACTGTGGGACAAGATATTTGAGGCCCTTAGAAAAGTATTTCAGGACACCTTTAACAAAGACCCTGAGATGGTACTTTTTGGATTATTACCAAAACACGTTACTGGAAGAGGAAAAAAATACCTTCTACAAATATTACTGATTGCAGCTCTTAAATGCATCACAGTTAAATGGTTGAAGCCCGACCCGCCAACATACAAAATGTGTATTGAAAAGTTCTGGGAAATCTATTATATGGAACAAATAACTTATTGTCTGAGGCTTCAAAAAGACATGTTTGTTAATAGGTGGAAACCGGCCATGACCATATTAATGCAGTAAAACTTTTTTTTTTTTCTTTCATTGTATTCTATGCCATTTCTATTATAATTTTTATTCTTATTATTTTCTATTTAATTTTTATTCCATTGGTGCTGCTTATTTAATTACTAACTACATTTATGTTTGTAAGTTACTTATGTTTAACCATGTGACCTACTTTACTTGTAAGCCTAACTTGTTGTATATACTTTCAAAGTTTTGTTCTTTTTTTAAACTTTACCATATAGAGCGGCAGCCTGAATGTAGGCTTGTATGTATATGTCTGTGTAAGTTGCAAAAAATTTTAATAAAAATTAAGTGGGGAAAAAAAAAAAAAAATTATCTGTCAACATGATGCATCTGCTAAAAAAATGTCTCATCTTTTGCAGTTTAATTTGGAGCAGCCTAAAAGGAACAGGAACATTTTTTTTTTAATTTTCTGGTTGTGTCATCCTTTTCCTCTCAGTTATCACTCAACTTATCTTATTTAAAGTTTATTTCAAATTGACTCTTAGTTTATTTACTGTTTTTACTGTACTTACTGTTTTAAAAATATGATTTAAAAACCTCATCCACAAAGATCCTCATTCACATTTTCCCCTAAATTTTCATGTTATGATATGTTTACATTATTTATTGACGGCATCTAAAAATATCAAAGATATTTTCAAATATAAACATAGATATGAAATAATCCAATATAACCTACAATAAGTTCAATTATATCATTGTACTAGATCATCAAATTAAATCAGTTTAGTCTGTCAAATAAGCTGCCTGTAGTGTCTTTAAAGGTCCAGCAGGTGTCAGTATTCTGTGAGACGGTATAATCGCAGCATCGGTGACCTTGAGTGTCCAGAAAGACGCCTTTTTAAATAAAATGTATTATTATTATTATTATTATCAATAATATTTGGCAATGTGTCAAAACACTTTAAGATGCCTCATGAACTTATCACTACCTCACACTAAAGGCTGATCTATACATCGAAACCACGTCGTCTGCGCGTGTCGTAGTGAAAGCAGAGACGTTCCCGCCCCCTCCGCAGACACTCTGCTGCACCTCTCCCAAATTGTAGGTGACCGCAGACAGGAGGCCTCTGATTGGTCAAATCTACAGCCGCTCTACACTATGCGTATTTCGACCAGCTAGAGGAGCGAGAACGCTGGGAGCCTTTTTCCCCCTGGATCCCCGCTCTTTTTCACCCTCATGTCCCTCCGTTGTTGCACAAACTGGCCCCAACTTCCTCGCTGCCTTGGCCATATCAAGACCCACAGCTAGTTGGTGAGTTCCCCCTCTTGCGTTGTGGTATGGAATAAACAGAGCGCAGACCACGCTTCAATATTGAGCATAAATCAAAAATGTCTGCGACATACCTGCGAAAAGCTCACTGCGACAAACTGCTGCAGAAGTATAACCAGCCCTTAAGCATGCTTATAGCGAAAGTGGAGAGGAAAAACTGCCTTTTAACAGGAAGACAGCAGCTTCTGATACGGATACTGAAGCTTGTTTTAATCCAAGATTATTCATTAAGTCATGATAAATAAAGCTCTGCATAGCAGAGCTGAGGCTATCCTAGCTGGTAGGACTCTGTAAATATTTATATTCCAACTTCTCTGTTGGAATACGGTCTGTTTAACATAAGATCGCTTTCCTCTAAAAGTCTACTAGTTAATGACTTGATTTGTGATAATCACATTGACTTGTTTTGCCTTACAGAAACCTGGCTGCAGCAAGAGGATTATGTGAGCATAAATGAGGCAACTCCTTCAAGCTATTTAAATTTTCACATCCCCAGAAGTTCTGGGCGAGGAGGAGGAGTAGCAACAATCTTCGAGTCTGACTTACTGATTACTCCCAAAACAATTAATTCCTACAACTCTTTTGAACATTTAACCCTTAATTTCCCTGATCCAAATTTCAAGGCAAGAAAACCTCTTCTTTTTGTAACTTTGTATCGTCCACCAGGTCCTTACTCTGAATTTTTAGATGAGTTTTCAGAGTTCCTTTCTGATTTGGTATTAAATACTGACAGGGTCATCATAGTGGGAGATTTTAACATCCATGCTGACATTGAAGGCGATAGCTTAAGAGCAGCCTTTAATGCTATCTTAGACACTATTGGCTTTGTTCAAAATGTGAATAGTCCCACACATTCTCATATTCATACTTTGGATCTTGTGCTGACATACGGCATAGAATGTGAAGAAATAACAGTATTTCCTCACAACCCTGTCCTCTCTGACCACTTTCTAATAACCTTCAGGATTACTTTAACAGAGTTCTCCTCCCCCAAAAGAAGGTTCAATTTTAGTAGATCTTTATCAGATAGTGCAGTTATAAATTTTAAAGAATCTGCTTCACTTTCTCTCTGCTCTGTGTCACTGAGCAGTGCTGCAGAGTGCAAAAGCTTAGCTTATTCCCCTTCACAGGTTGATGATTTTGTTGAGGGGGTTGCTAGTTCTCTGCGTATTGCCTTAGACAACGCAGCTCCTTTGAAAATGAAAACCGTTAAAAATAGAAAGCTTGCTCCTTGGTTTAATGCAGAGCTGCGTACTTTGAAGCAAAATGCTAGGAAACTGGAGAGAAAATATCGCTCCACAGGCCTGCGAGAGTCCTTCCTAGTCTGGAAAAATGGTTTACTGCTGTATAAGAGGACCCTTTGTAAAGCAAGAGCAGCATACTTCTCCTCATTAATAGAGGAGAATAAGAATAATCCTAGATTTCTTTTTAATACAGTTGCCAAACTCACCCAGAGCCATAGCTCTGTTGAACCGTCCATTCCACCTGCTCTTAGCAGCAATGATTTTATGGGATTCTTTATAAATAAGATTGATCTTATTAAAAATAAGATCATAAGCACTCCTCTATCCGCGATTGTACCTGAGGTAGTCATGGAATCTGAACCGGGTTTAGACTGCTTTGATCCAGTTGAACTTTCTGAATTAGCAAAATTATTGTCTTCATCTAAGCCTTCAACTTGTATGTTAGATCCAGTTCCAACCAGGTTATTTAAGGAGGTATTCCCTTTGATCTCCTCCTCCATTTTAGATGTGATTAATCTATCTCTGTTACAGGGATATGTACCTAAAGCTTTTAAGATTGCTGTAATTAAACCTCTGCTTAAGAAACCGTCTCTTGACCCAGATGACTTGGTCAATTATAGACCTATATCCAATCTTCCTTTCTTATCCAAAATTCTTGAGAAAGTAGTTGCCAAACAAGTTTGCGATCACTTCCACCATAATGAACTTTTTGAAGAGTTTCAGTCTGGCTTTAGAGCTCATCATAGCACTGAAACAGCTCTGGTGAAAGTCACTAATGATATTCTCATGGCCTCAGATAATGGACTTGTATCTGTGCTCGTCCTGTTGGATCTTAGTGCTGCATTTGATACAGTTGACCATAATATTCTTTTAGAAAGACTTGAATATTTTGTTGGAATTAAAGGAACAGCACTAGACTGGTTTAAATCTTATCTATCTGATCGAATTCAGTTTGTTCATGTTAATGATAGATCTTCAACACGCTCAAAGGTTACCTGTGGAGTACCACAGGGATCAGTGCTAGGACCAATTCTCTTTACTTTATACATGCTCCCAATTGGTAGAATTATTAGACAGCATGGGATTAATTTCCACTGTTATGCTGATGATACCCAGCTATATCTGTCTATAAATCCAGATGAAGCTAACCCATTACATAGATTACAGGCATGTCTTGAAGACATAAAAACCTGGATGACTCTTAATTTTCTGCTTCTGAATGCAGACAAAACAGAAGTTATAGTCTTTGGACCAGAGTCTCTGAAAAAGAAACTGATTAGCCAGTCACTTCATTTGGATGGGATTAAACTGATTTCAGATAATAAAGTAAAAAATCTTGGTGTTATTTTTGATCAGGACCTGTCATTTAAATCCCATATCAAAGAGGTTTCTAGAATTTCCTTCTTTCATCTGAGGAACATTGCAAAAATTAGAAATATCCTGTCCAGGGGTGATGCTGAGAAACTAGTCCATGCATTTGTTACTTCAAGGCTGGACTATTGTAATTCTTTACTATCAGGAAGTCCACAAACTGTAGGTAAAAGCCTTCAGCTGATCCAAAATGCTGCAGCCAGAGTTCTAATGAAAATGAAAAAGAGAGATCATATCTCTCCTATCCTGGCTTCTCTTCATTGGCTTCCTGTTAAATCAAGAATAGAATTTAAAATCCTCCTTCTCACATATAAAGCCTTAAATGGCCAAGCTCCATCTTATATCAGAGATCTGATTGTTCCTTATGTTCCTAACAGAGCACTTCGCTCTCAATCTGCAGGTTTACTAGTGGTTCCTAGAATTTCTAAAAGTAGAATGGGAGGCAGATCTTTTAGTTATCAGGCTCCTCTCCTGTGGAACCAACTACCAGTTTTAGTCCGTGAGGCAGACACCCTGTCTACTTTTAAGGCTAGGCTTAAAACTTTCATTTTTGATAAAGCTTATAGTTAGGGTGGCTCAGGTTATCCTGAGCTATCTCTATAGTTATGCTGCTATAGGCTTAGACTTTTGGAGGACATAGGGACCCCCATTTCATCATTCTGCTTCATTCTCTCTCTGTTCTCCTATTCTGCAGAATCTGTTAGTTCAATCTCTAACCTTCTGCTCTCTCTGCTTTTCCTCAGAGTAGCTTTGCCTCGTCTGTTCCTGTTTGGCTGTGACGTCATCCTGGAAAAAAACATCAGCTGTGCTGCTTCTATCAACACCCTTGTTAATAGATGTTGGAGATCGGCCTGTTTTCCAGTGTGGTCCTGTTTCTCTGACCGTGACTGAGTGGATGTGCTCTCTTCGTCCTCTGGCATGGGAGCTGCCTTGGAGCTCGTCTGCCTGGCTGTGTGTTTCCTGGACGGGGCCGCCTTTTACAGCTGCTTTTTGTATCTCTGCTTCTGTCTCCTTGAACCCCAGTCGGCCTCGGCAGATGGCCGCTCACACTGAGCCTGGTTCTGCTGGAGGTTTCTTCCTGTTAAAAGGGAGTTTTTCCTCTCCACTGTCGCTACAAGCATGCTTAGTGTGGGGGATTGTATTTGAGTCAATGAGTCAATGCAATCAACTGGTTTTCCTTAGATAGAAAACTTTGTATCAATTTGACTGTATGATCTGGTTGAACTGTAAAGTGCCTTGAGATGACATGTGTTGTGAATTTGGCGCTATATAAATAAACTGAATTGAAATTGAATTGAATTCTCTGTGTATATTCAGAGCATGTAAACCATCATACTCTGTATTGTGCTTGTATTAACTTGATGTGCACTGAAATGATGGTTAGGGAGGCTATTCTGCAGGTAAAGGTATTGTTCCGGTTTGTCAGAAGCATCTTGCTAACCAGTTAGCAACTTAGTGCTAGTAGGTTCCCAAAGGGAAATTCCATTGGGACCATATAGCACTAAATTGGTGACTTAGAATCAACACTGTCAAGGAACGCTATGGACAGAGGAAACATGCAAGAGGAGGAGAGTTTAGTGTCGGAGGTCGTGGATGAGTTTCCTCCGTCATCCATTTTATATTTAGAGGAGGAAAGCGGGGACGAAGATGTTGTGGAAGAGGACGCCAGAAGCTTGTTTTGGTGTAGAAGGCTTACAGCCGTACATGTTTGAGCCCTTGCCTCGCAACGCTGCCAGTTCTGTTAGCTCTACGCCTGCAGAAGACACAGACGTCCATCCCCGTGAACACTGGGACGGAACTCAATGGGAAAGGACATGACTCTTATTTCTTATTTCAACCGTGGCGACATGAATCAAGATGCTATGACCAAAAAAAATTGAATGACAGATGACCGTTGAAATATGATTGGCCGAATTTAGGTGTTCAGGTTGACGTATAACTAACTGGCCTGCATAAGACAACAACAAAAAAAAAAAAAACAGATTTAAAGACAGGATTTTTTTATTTTATTTTTTTTTTTATAGCAATTTTCTAACTTTTGGGACAATATGGTCTGATAAAGACTATATTTATATACATGTTTAAGCCAGAACAATATGGATGCATAAACACCTCATCTTATTTCACTGTTAAGTTCTGTTTAGAGTAAGAGATTATAATTAAAAATGTCTCTGGACCTTTACTGATTGTTGATTTTCTTTATTCAGACCCCGCTGATTTTTAATTGGTTCCCCTGATGTAAACAAATGATCAAATTCCAAGTTTATCCTGGTAATTGTGTTTATTTTGCTTCTCTGTGAGTAATAACTACCAGCCTGAATCAGAGATGAAGGCATACCGCTGACACGATGATGTTCTCCTCTTCCTCCATTCTCCACCTGAGAGCAGGATGGATACTGCACACTGGCAGGCTGGTTCCTCATCTTTTTCTCACGCATCTTGGCTTTAGCTGAAGACATTTTCTAAAGGGGAAAAAGAAGCATAGCTCAAACCCCACCAACAGGACTCCCTGTTTAGCCAGTTAGCTCCATTTACCTCGGAGAAAGTTAGCATTTCTGTTCAGAACAGAGTTTTAAATAATTCTCCCCAACAATTAAACAACCACTGTTACCTTTCAGGCTGTTAAGGTCTTGCCACACAATTATTTTTGGCTGCTCTCCTCTTGCTGTTAGCTACCATGTGAGCAGTCCTCATGCTAGCTGACGTTCACCTTCACTTCCGGGTTTTTTAATGACTCATGGGAAATGTAGTGAATGGGACAAACAATTAAAATCTTCGTACCCAGACCATCTATAATATGTACAAACAGTTAAAATGTGTTTGAATTATTATTAAATTATTATTATTATTTAAATAATTATTCATGAATGTAAACCCACCTTTATAAGCTAAAACCTATATGGGTTTGTACGTTTATGGTGCGCATATAGAAGGTGGTTTACGGTGAAGAAGGTGAGACGCTCTCGCGTCAGCTGGGCGCCTCTCGGTTCTTTTCTGACTGTTTACCCACTGTTTCACTCTTTTTGGCTGTGTGAATACTGTGGGGGCAAATGGCAGCACTGATCAGGAGGATCATCAGCACGGCTAAAGCTCCGGCTGCGATCGGCCCATACAGGTGAGGAGTCTGACAACCCGGTTTAAAGCTGCTGTACAACAGGCCACATGGCAGGAGCCACACATATGGTAGTACTGTGGGACTGTCTGGATATGTAAATAAATATATGTAAATAAATTCAGGATTAGTGCTTATTCTTTGATAACTCATAGATACATGTGACATCAGATCTTCATCCTTGAATACAACTTCAAAAGTGCTGATTGCTAAATAAGAATGTTTCAGCTTTGCAGAAATACAACAACAATTTACAAATGCAAATCACAAATAAAAAAAGTAAAAAACAGGAACCAGAGATGTAAAAAAAAAAATAAATCAAATTACAAGATCTAAATTTGCAAATAGCTACCAATAACAAATGAATAATTCCACAAAACACATTTACAAGGATAACTCACAAATTAGCTAGGTAAACTAGCTATTTCTTTTTTTTATTTTCTTTTTAGAGATACATTAGATTGCAATAGCATGCTATATAAGTTTAATATTCCATACATACTAACAGGGCAACGTTGCACAGCCTTTTTGTGTACTTTTTTAGATTTTGCTCTTTAGACCCAAAGGACTGTTGGAAGGATTAACCATTAACAAATTCTGTTCCCAGGATGGTGTTTTAAATACTTTGGATATGTTAGGATATGTAACGTTTCCTTAAAACTTTTATGGCAATGCACTGTGGTTTGCAAAAGCTGCACATTCAAAAGAGATCAGGTTTCACGGGAGTTTATTTAGAGATATTGAAGGGACATTTTTAGTCTGGATAAAAATGCAGAGAATGGAGAGTAACTCAAAAAGAAAAACAACAATTTAAATTAAACATCTAAATCATGGAATTACAAATCCAATTTGAAAAGTCTCTTGTCATTGCACAGTTTGAATAAAATTATCAATGAAGATTTTTTTTTCAATATTAAATACTGCAATTTAAAAAAAATCGTTTTCTAAATGTAGATTTAAAAAGCACAATCCATAAATCTGATTAGAATACCTCATCACATAATTAAAGAGGTAAATCCATTACTATGTTCTTTGTCACCTTGCATTTTCAAATGTCTATTGCAGTTGCAAGTTCATTTTACGTTATCCTCTACATTTAATACCTTACTGACCCAAAAACAGCTTAATAACCATTTAGTTACAGTTTATTAACAGTTTTGTTACAGCTTATTCTTAGTGTAATAATAGTTTATTACCAGTTTAGTAATAACCTTTTTACAGCATAATAACGTTTGTGAGCAGTTTATTAACAGCTTATTAATAGACTGATAACAGTTATAAACTGTTTACTAAAATATTATTAACATTTTATTAACAGCTTATTAATGATTTATTACAGTTATAAACGTTTACTAAAAGCTTATTAACAGTTTATTAACAGCTTATTAACAAGGATAACTAAAAAGGTTAAAGAAAAAGGAAATGTGTTTAGAGAATTCCCAGGGATCAGTTAATGAATGCAGAGGGGGAAAATGCAACCTCATAAAAGATATGGAAATGGCAAGAGGGAAAAAAAACGGAATTTCTAATTCTATGATTTAACTTTTTAATTTGAAGTGTTAAATTTTCGCTTTCCATGTCCTCTAAAGGAGTATCATCCATTTTCTATTCCACTGGAATGTCTTACTTTGTGTTGATCTGTTACATACTTTACAATTATAAAACTGTTAAGTTTGTGCTTTTAGTGTGTGACAGGGTGTCAATACTTACAATAAAGCAAAAAGGTCAATTTCCCTGCTAAAGCTGCTAAGATGTTGGAAAACATTGATCAACTGCATGAAGAAAAACTATTATTTAAAGCTGAAAGTGTCAAACATTATGGGGATCTTCTTTGTACAGCTGGGCAGCGCTCCCCAATGTTTTTAAAACATTGCAGATAAATTCTCTTATTTGTTCTTTGTGTTCAAGCCAAGCGGTGGTGGTGGATCGGACTGTGTACATCTCAGGGCAGCTGGGGATGGATCCTGGCAGTGGACAGCTGGTGGAAGGTGGCGTTCAGGCACAGACCAGACAGGTGCTGCTCCCCAAATGTCTGCAGCTCCGCATTTATTCAGTTCAATGAATCACAACACCAACCATAACAGTTTACTAATCTCTTTTTAACATTACATAAACTACATAAGTCACTCAATCGTTCTGCCTCTCCTGTTAAAGACACGTTAAAGTTCAGTAACTGAAGAGAACTGAACTTTGTGCTATTATTTTTTTTTTCAGGCTCTTGTGAATATGGGTGAAATTCTTAAAGCTGCTGGCTGCAGCTATGAGAACGGTGAGAGAAACCTTAGTTCAATAAGGTGCATTTGGGTTTTTTTTCCTGTTCTGAAGCTGTTTTATGTATTTTGCTTCTACTATTTCATCTTTTCCTGCAGTTGTGAAAACCACAGTGCTGTTAGCCGACATGAACGATTTTGTAAATGTCAATGACGTCTACAAGCAGTGTAAGTATGAAACCCTAGAAATCATTAGAGTTTAGTATCTCATTGAAAGATTAGACTCTTTAAACTCAGCAGCCATTATTTTTATCATGTAAGGAAATGACCACTAGGGGTCAGTATAACCCTAAAAACCTGTTTGTTTTTTAACACGACATCCTCCCTTTGCCACCTTGGTTTTACTCCTTTGATTAAATAAAATGCTTTTGATGAAAGAGAATGGCTAAATTTTCCACTGACTATTCTAAATAGTAAAATATTTCTTTGGAAAACCTGAAAACACTGAGAAACTGAGCAGCTTTGGTAGGAGATGAGCACACAGGCTGTTGAGGTTTCCCCACTTAGCTGAGTGAAATATGAGCTGCTGCTGTCAGTGGATTAAGCTTCATCTAGATACCAGATAATGTGTTGCCTTTCACTGCCTAAAGATGATAATAAAGCCTCCCCTATAGATTTCACTGTCATGTAAGAAAATAACAGGTCTTGGCTGCTAAAGAAAACACTGCAGAAGTATTTATACATCTTAAACTTTCACATTAAAATCACAAACTGCACCGTCTTTCATTGGGATTGGGTGCTACTTTAATTTAGACTAGAGCATGATTGTGAATGAAGAGGAAAGGAATGCATATTTTATTTACAGATGAAACTGAATAGTATGGCGTGCATTTATATTCTATTCAGGCCTTATGAGCCATGTGTTACTCCCAGGGATTTGAAGTATTTTGGCCCCAGGCTTTCCGGCTCGTAGCGATCGCCCGTGGTTAAAAAAAAAATCACTAATATAAATTGATGGTAAATACATTGAAAGAAGACAATCGAAATCCCTTTTGACTTTGTCAGCCAATGGTAGCAAAGGAGCACTGTGGAACTTACACTATTAGCCAATCAGAAGTAAAAGGGGGCGGGTCTTAGAAAAGCGTCTACCTCCTCCTCTCGTTTATTGATCAAGTCGCCAGATAGATTTTGGTTCAGTGCTGAAGTTCTACACAGAAAGTCACCTGGCACCGTTTACGGCTACATTCAACAGAGAGATGTGTAAAAAGTCAAAAAATAAATAAATTAAACTTTATGTTTGGAGAGAAGGAGAGAAGGATAGAGAGAACAGAATTGCATGGATTGGGCTTAATGCAGTTCATGAACTGAGAAGATGTCAGGACTATAGATAAAGGTCTCAAAAATAAATGGTGCTGGTAATGGCTGGAGGAGACAGGGCGAGATGGAAGTTATGTGAACCAGGCGCTTGCTTCTGCACACTGTGCTCCAGGAACGCCTAGCAGCAAAACTGGATATTAAAAGAAATGTGGTTCATGCAACTGGTAGATATAGATGCACTTTTGCCATCTTCTGGCCATATGAGTTTCTTGCCTGTGTCGAAAAAGTTCAGGCTCAGAATTTTTATTTTATTTTTTTGCATTAATCCCTGTACTCCACAGATCTGTCCTAAATAGTGTGTCAAAGTACACAGTATAAAGAAAAAGAAGAACATAGAAAGTTTTTTTTGTAGTTTTCTACAAACGTCTGAGGGGACACAGCGAAGATGTTAAAGGAGGCACTCAGCCTAAATAAAAGACAATAAATTAAGTTTTTTTATTTACATACATGGAAAATAAGCAATGCAGAGCACCCATGTTTCTTCAGGGGTCAAAATTACCCCTTTTTTCCAAACACATATCTGCATGAATGTTATCGATTTTCTAGAGAAGGGTCTAATTGCTTTACTGCCTTAATTAGGCCTCGGTTCACCCACAGAACAGCTCCAATCAGCCCTAACTGTTCTCCTGATGCTCAAAGTTGAAAATCCAGACTCACACATGTTTTAAAGAGCAGAAGGATTTTCAGTCCTTTTTCACATATTTAGATGCCCAAGAGCCTCAACATGTATTTCCCTGGGCTTGTCATGTCAAAATATTATTATTATTATTGCCTCTATTCCACAATATCAGTAAAATATCAATATTTTAAAATACTAATTAAATAAATAACTGATTTTTTTTTTCTCCAATTTTTCTTTTCGTTCTCTAAAAGCTCCCCTAGTGGCTTCACTTTGAAACCCACCAGTGGGATTACAGCAATTTAACTTGTTACAATCAGTTAACGTTTTTAGGGAGATTTAAAATTTTAGTTGTAAAAAATGTAGAAAACTTGTTTTATTCTACCTACGTCACATATAACTGGTGCTTTA